CCATCCAGATACATTGACAAGCATGCATGATCTTGCTTTGCTTTATGAGCAACAAGAGAAATGGAAAGATGCAGAGGGGCTCTATGAGCAAGTTGTCAACAAGCGCCAGAAGATCCTTGGAGAAGACCATCCAGATACATTGACAAGCATGCATAAACTTGCTTCCATTTACAAGCAACAACGGAAACTGGACGATGTAGAGGGGCTTCTCAAGCAAGTTGTCAACAAGCACAAGAAGATCCTTGGAGAGGAGCATGTACATACATTGACAACCATGCATGAACTTGCTTCCACTTACTTGATGCAAGGGCAACTAGAAGAAGCAGAGCAGATCTACAAGCAAATTGCTGACAAGCCCACAGAGATTCTGAGGAGGGGCCATCCAAGGACGCTGAGAAACATTTATAGGCTTGTTATTATATACCAGCATCAAGGGAAACCGAAAGATGCGGAGCGGCTCTTTGAGCAAGTTGTCCACAAGCACAGGATTGCAAAAGAGCATCCAGATACATTGTGGGGAATGGATAAGCTTGCTTGGATTTACCGGCGACAAGGTCGACACAAGGAAGCGTTGAAATTAATGGTTGATTGTGTTGAAGCCAGTCAGCAGATAATAGGTGCAGACCATCCAACCACAAAGACGCGCCTCAAAGTCCTTCATGCATTGCAACGAATCCAAGTTACATCCGAGCAACGTTCAGATACCAGAGGGGAAGAGAGGGAAAAGTGAAGCGCGCAGACATTTTTCAGCCAGCACGACAAAGCAGCACGATCAGCGTTTAATGTTGGACCGTCACGTTCCGAATCCGCTCCCCCTTTTGGACAAATTCTCGGAAGAGTATACCTAACTAGGCTTTCCCTCCGGTCAACAATGGTACCATTATGTAGAATGGTACTTATCACCTTCAGAATCGAAGCCGCGGCCAAGCACGAATAGCGGATGCGCATGGTAGGTTCTGGACCTACGGCCTATGCTGCTATTGCATTTCAATGAAATTCAGACGTTGATATTCTGCATGAACATTTCATTTTTGGTCATTCTAGCTATCATGCCGCATAAATGATGCCAGCCGTACGGCAATAACTATACAAAATCCGAATATAAACACCGCGAAAACTCCATCACATTGATCCTTGACTTAAGCAGTGCTAGTCGTGATAGTCTTGATGACAACGTACTCATCCACGCCGTATTTGCTGCCCTCTCGGCCGAAACCACTTTCCTTGACACCACCAAATGGCGTCGCAGGGTCACTGATAGCACCTGTGAACGACCCTTGTCAGCATCTCGAGAATCCAAAGGGGACAAATAAAACAAAGGAAGTGGAAGAAAATATGAAGGGGGCGGGACATACCAGTATTGACACCGACCATGCCAACCTCGAGGGCCTCGGCCACACGCCAGCATCGAGCGACATCCTTGCTGAAAAAGTATCCAGCGAGACCAACCTCTGAGTTGTTGGCAAGCTTGATCACCTCCTCCTCAGTCTCAAAGGGGAAAAGACCGGCCAGCGGTCCAAAGGTCTCCTCCTTTGTTACCTTCATCTCCTTGGTAATGCCGGTCATGACAGTCAAGTCGAAGAAGCAGCTGCCCAGGTCGGGGCGACGTTTGCCACCAACGGCGACCTTGCCACCCTTGTCAATGGCATCTTGGACATGCTCGTCGACCTTGTCGACGGCGCGCTCGTGGATGAGCGGACCGTGAGTGACGCCTTCCTCGAAGCCAGCTCCAAGCTTGAAGGCCTTGACTGCCTCGACAAACTTGTTGGTAAACTCATTGTAGATGTCGCTTTGGATGAAAATGCGGTTGGCGCAAACACAGGTCTGGCCCGAGCCGCGGAATTTACTAGCAATCAGACCCTTGACAGCAAGGTCAACATCGGCGTCGTTGAATACAATAAAAGGTGCGTTGCCGCCGAGCTCAAAGGACAATTTTTTAAGCGTCGAAGCAGACTGCTTCATCAGAATCTTTCCAACGCGTGTAGAGCCTGTGAAGGAGACCTTCTTGACTGTAGGATGTTCGGTAAGGACCTCGCCAACGGAAATGGTGTTGTCCAGCGCAGTAATCACATTGACAACACCCTTGGGGATACCGGCGCGGTGGGCGAGTTCAGCGAGAGCGAGAGCCGTCAAAGGTGCCTCCGCAGGGGCCTTGATTACTACTGTGCAGCCTGCGGCCAATGCAGGGCCGACTTTACGTGTGATCATGGCAGCAGGGAAATTCCAGGGCGCGATCAACGCACATACTCCGATGGGCTGTTTGAGCGTGATGGCGCGGTTACCGGGTACGCTGGGAATGATAGTATCGCCGTAGATGCGAGGTGCTTCTTCGGAGAACCATTCAAAGAAGCCGGCGGAATATGTGGATTCAATGCGTGCATCGGAGAGTGATTTTCCGTTTTCCCAGGTGATCAACTTGGCAATGTCCTCGCCATTTTGAATCATCAAGTCGTACCATTTTCGGAGGAGTCGCGATCTTTCGCGGCCGGTGGTCTTGCGGAAAGAAGGGAAAGCTGCAGCGGCAGCTTCGATAGCTGTTACGGTATCTTCCTTGCCGAATTCGGGGCATGTCGCAATCTGGTTTGAGGTGGCAGGGTCTATTGGCAGAGCGGAAACATTAGTTAGACCACGGAAACAAGAGAAGTCGGAAACCCAGCGCGCGCTTCTTCCGATGTATATATCCATGATTTCAATTAGAGTAAAATTCGAACATACCGCTCACAGCAAATGTCTTCTTTGATCGCGCATCAACCCAATTGCCATTGACGTAGCACTGCTGCTTGAACAGGCTGGGGTCGGCAAGCTTGGGGGCTTCGTGGGGCATGGTCGAATATGGCGAGTATGTAACAATGCGAAATGTAACGACTTTGTGAAATAATGAAAGCGGACGTTTTGTCCCGTATCGTAGGAGAGGATTCATCATTAATTATATAGGAACTGTTGAAAAAGGAAAGTCTTAGTGGCAACAATGCGCGGAGGTGGGTTTTGAGAGTTGACGGATCGGTGGTGATGGTGGCGTCTCCGCGTCCCGGCCCGGGCGCAGGTGGGACCGTCCCGCAGCTTGGGAATCCCTACTTTAAGTTATAATCCCGAGCCAACTCGGAGTTGAATTTGTCAAGACGTTCAGTAATATCGTCATGCATGAGAGGAGCAATGTTGAATATTGGCCTCAAAGAATATCCCTTAGCCACAGCGTTGTATTCCTCAGTGTTGATGTTTGAACGCTTGTCAGGGGAATTGGGTCATGACGTCATATGTTTTGAAGGATTGATTGACACCCCAAGATGCTGCATCATTATATAGGAAACTTGATTATCGAAATATTGAATTTATCAGTTGAAATTTTTTCGGCATTCATATAGACTTTGAAATCCTGGACGCTTGCATATCCCTTTTGCAGCGTTGATTGAATTTCTGTCTCATCCTCCTTGGAACCAAAAATTTCAAAAACATATAATCACATATTAAGCAGACTTCTCCTTTTCCACAGCATCTGCCATCTCGCCCAAGGTATTAAATTTCCAGTTGTAAATTTCCTCGTCGACATTTCCCATCCGTGCTCCTGCACGTGCAATCCACACGGACTTAATACCCTTTTTGGATGCGGGGTGATGATCATGCTTTTGGCTTTGCGCAGTCTGCAGGACCTGTGATTTTTGAATGCCAAACTCCTTTTGGGCAAAATCGAGCATATAGTCAAAGTTGCGAGGATCAGGCTTGTACGAGCCAATATCTTGCGCGGTGAGAATACCATCAAAGTGCACACCCCCGAGTGGACCGGCATTGCTCGCACCAAATGACTCTCGATCCACATTCGAGAGTACCACTAGCTTATACGTCTTGCCCAGGCGCTTCAGGGCATCAACAGTGTCAGGAAAGGCGGGCCATTTGCCCACAGACTGGCCGAACTCTTCGCTCTCGCTCGCCGTAGGAGCAGGAAGCCCAAGCTTCTCCGCCCATTGCGGATGAGTAGTTGTGAGAACCTGCGAGTAGAGCATATCTGGTGTTTTGACTTCTTGTCTATACTCAAGCTCGTGAAATACTTCGAGCAGATGTTTTCTGGTGAAGCGGTTGCCAGCACCGCATTTTTCCAAATACTTTTGAAAAGCGGTCAAAATTCCAGTTTCCCAGTCTATGAAGGTCCCGTAGACATCGAAGGAAAGTAGTTTAAAATCGGTCAATTTCGACATGGTGGTGGTAATTGGACAAAGTAGAGGAAAGTAGGGTAGGTAGCTTGAGTAATGGTTATTGCAAAAGAGGCAATTCTAGCCGTATGCTGTTTCAATTGCTTTGGGTTCTGTTATGACTTTCCTGGTGCGGGACCCTGAACGGTTTATATGCGCCTCGACTTTCCGTGTCTGTGTTAAAGCTTCTTAGCTTCCGGATAACGACCCTTGGCTTCAGCCGGTGATCTCTTCTCCGGAAATCCATTGTAGGGCGTGCCAAGGGCACTATGTCGGGGAGACTTGCCTCTTCCCGTCGATGTCGATCTTATCAGGGTCCTAAAATTTCCCGGTCTCGCACAGACATTCTAGTTTGAGCTGTCACTCGAAGATCGCCATTAGAATCTCACTTGCGTTTGCTATTACCAGACGGCCTTTGTTTTTCTTTTGCTTTTCGTTTTCATTCTTGACTATCTCTCTGTGTCCCGTTCGGGCTTTATTCAGTACCGATCTGTGGGGTCTGCGGGGCAAATCAGCTCTCATTCAAAATGCCAGTGTGGGTGGACATATTCGATAAAGGGAATTGCACACTTTCGTAAGGACTGCCATTGAAAGTATAGACATTTCTAGATGTATCTGGAATGCAATCCCAGAAACTTCTCTCCGCCTTTTCCGACGGTTAAACGGATGGGGCCGTTGTAAAGTCGTGATGATCCACATTCGGGTACGCGCACCCGGTCCGAGTTGTCTCCGCAATGTCAAATATAAGGCGTAGTACAACCACCATGAGACTTCCAAAAGTCTATTCATCGAATTTCTAGAAGAGCTGTGAATATTCCATCTCGAGCTCATCATCAATATGACTTTCAGCAAGATCGACTGGGCTGCAAAGGAGCCTAAGGCTCCCGAGGTCCACACCGCCATTCCTGGCCCCGAGTCGAAGAATATCCAGAGCCAACTCGACGGAGTGTTTGATGCGCGTGCCGTTCAATTTGTAGTCGACTATGAAAAGAGTATCGGAAACTAGTACGTTAGAGCGCATACTTTGGTAGAAGTAGAAAAATGCAAGAGGTTGACTTTCATCCCAGCATTGTCGATGCCGACGGCAATACTCTCCTCGATGTCTACTCCCAAATCGCCTCCATCCCCGTAGGATACAACAACCCGAACCTGATTGCCGCTGCACAAAGCCCCGACATGGTCACGGCGCTCGTGAACCGTCCTGCCATTGGCAACTTCCCCTCGAGCAAGTGGGCGCAGCAGCTCAAGAACGGCCTTTTGCGTGCAGCGCCCAAGGGCCTGAACCAGGTCTTCACGGCTCAGTCGGGCTCTGAGGCCAACGAGCTGGCGTACAAGGCCGCATTCATGTACTACCGTCGCAAGCAGCGCGGTGACGCCGACTGGTCCGAGGAGGAAATGAGCAGTGTGATGCGCAACCAGTACCCTGGATCTCCGGATCTTGCGATTCTCAGCTTCAAGGACTCGTTCCACGGCCGTGGATTCGCCAGTTTGTCGACCACTCGCTCCAAGCCTGTGCACAAGATGGACATTCCTTCGTTCAAATGGCCCCAGGCCTCGTTCCCGCACCTCAAGTACCCGCTAGAGCAGCACAAGGCGGAGAATGATGCCGAGGAGCAGCGCTGCCTCAAGGAGGTTGAGACTATTATCGAGCATTGGTATATTTCCCATATGATTTTTGTTTTTGTCCAGTTCCTTTCTTCCCTTTTTGGGCAAAATAAGAGTTTACAAGAATCGTCATTAATTGATATCCTGCAGGCACTCGCCCGTTGCTGCAGTCATCATCGAGCCCATCCAGAGTGAGGGTGGCGACAACCACGCTTCCCCTGCCTTTTTCCAGGGCCTGCAAGCCATCACCAAGAAATATGGCATTCTCTTGATTGCCGACGAGGTTCAAACCGGTATGTCCCAGCATTCCTCTCTTCCTTTCCTCCGGGACTTTGCCCAGAATATCCTAGAATTAAGCATATCTAACGTTGGACAGGTTTCGGAGCAACCGGAAAGTTCTGGGGCTACGAGCACTGGGAGCTTCCCTCTCCACCTGACATGGTGACCTTTTCCAAAAAGGCCCAAACTGCCGGCTACTTTTTCAGCGACTCCTTGATCCGTCCGGACAAGGCGTATCGTCAATTCAACACGTAAGTTCAGCCTGTCTAAAATATGACCTCTCCTTTCTTCTCTCCTCTATTTCCTGAAAAATTTACTGATATGACAACAACAGCTGGATCGGCGACCCCGCGCGTGTGCTCTTCTGCAACGCCATTATCGACGAAATTGAGCGTAGCAACTTGCTTGAGCAATGCGTATGTTCTCATGAAGCAATTCACCTGCCGTTTGATCCTTTCAACCCTTTCGCTATCTCACTCATCTGCCACTATGACCACCCAAAATACTAAGATGTACTAACGTGACATAGTCCCGCGTCGGCGACGCTCTGTATTCCGAACTTGCCAAGCTCGCAGACAAGTATCCTACCAAGATCCAGAACCTCCGTGGCAAAGGAAAGGGGTATGTTCATGTTCTCCTTCCCCCTTTCTTTCCTATTTTCTTTTATCCTGTTTCCTTCTATTCTATTTTGCTTCTCCCTTTTCCGTTTTTCTCGACCAATTATATCCTCTCATTCTTCTACTCGACGCTTTCCAGCACATACTAACTCACTATCCATCCAGAACATACATTGCCTTTGACACCCCCTCGCCAGCAGACCTCACGAAAAAGGCCAAGACGCTGGGCATTAACATCGGCATGTGCGGCACCAACACGGTGCGGCTGCGGCCCATGCTTATTTTTGAAGAGAGACACAGTACGTCCCTTACCCTTCTTTTATTTTTTTTTCCTCCCATTACCCCCCATTAGCCCCTTTGCCTTTTCATTTTTTTTATCGTTCTACCCTTCTACCTTTTAGCCCTTTTTTCGGCGTTCCCTTTTACCCTTTTATCCTTCCCTCCTTTCCCTTTTAGCTTTTCCCGTTTTACCTTTTTGCTCCTGCCGCTCCCGGCGGGTGATTTAGTTCAAGCGCTGACCATATATAGTCCCTACTCTCATCACTGCACTGGACAAGGCGCTTGCTTGAATCTTGAATCCAAAGTCCTAGTCCTAAGTCCTGGATCATGGATCATGGATCATGGATCATGAGTCCTGAATCGAATCGTGCACAACGGAGCAAGAATTCAATGGTAGTATGATGAATGATTAGCATGGGTAGCATATAATGCGTCTAGCATGTGGTATGTAGCATGTACAGACGGACAGACAAACAGACGGACACAGGCAGGCAGTTACATCAGCGCTACGGCACAATGCACAATGCACAATCCATCGTCTGCCTATCTGTACCGTGCTGTATATGCATGTCTGTCTGTCTGTCTTTTTGCATTTATTAACGAAAGTGGTATCGGCGTCTATGGGTTATTGCATTCATTTTTATTTATTTATTTTTGCAGTCATATTTGAAAAGCGACATTTAAAAAGAATCATATTTCAGAGAGTCATACTTCAAAAACCCTTCCTCTGAAAGCGACATTTAAAAAGAATCATACTTCAAAGAACCATACTTTTAAAGCGACATTAAAAAAAAAAATTCAAGCATACTTTCAAAAAAGAAAATTAAACCCTACCCCCCAAAGGGAGAATGATGGAAGGATAGCGAGAATAGCGCGACGTTGAATCAAAAGCGTCAATGAACAATAAAAGAAATATATCTTTCTCGAGTATTGAGTATCACTCCCAAGTCAAACGAGCATGTGCATGTGGATATCGTAGATTCGTAGTCTAGATCACGTCGACTCGTCGAGATTTAAATCGTCAGTTTATCAATTTATCCCTAGACTACTTCCTACTTCCTACTTCGAACTTCCTACGTCCTCCGCCCCTAATCTTTCATCCATCATCCTCCATTCCAAATCTGTCCTTCGACTCATCTCACCCCATTCCATCCCTCTTGCAGCACATGCAGTCCCAATCTCAAATTCCTCCAGATCCAGCGCAGGCAACAAAGTGTGAAAGTATGAAAAAAATCACACTGTGAAGTGCGCGTCATAGAAGATGCTCATGCCGAGGCTGGAATAGACGCTGCGCCAAACACGAAGAAGACGAACGCCTATTACCAGGCGGCGATTGTCATGTTGGTTCGAATTGTATGCCCGTTCCGATATCCAACGTCCAACGTCCGTCATTTCAACACCACTGATACCTTCTCACCAAACACCCACAGTACGTAAACAAGCTGTGTCGAACCCGACACAGGCGCCACAAATATCAAGACCCGGTATCATCCTATTCCCGTTACTGAAGCTAGACGAGACGACAGAAAACGAGCAGTTTCAGAAGACGTTGGAGCCATGATAACGACCCGACAAGCAAATACAACCCCCAGTTCCGACAATACTTCGAGACACGAAAGTGATATTGACGAGAACAAAGGTGATATGAGAATTGCCTGGGATTTTTGAGATCTCTGGACGGGAAAGTGTGGCTCCGTGGGGTGGATGGGAAACGAAAATGGGATAGAGGTGAAGAAAGACAGAAGTTGGAAAAGCGAAAACAGTACTGTGAGTAGCAAAAGTACTGAAATCAGAAAAAGTACTATAAAAGTAAAAATATCAAGACAGTACCGGATATTGTTGGGTTAACGATACGGGACAATACCGGTACTGTGTGATGATTGGTGCTGTGAAAATAAATGGAGAAAACATGCTGAGAAAAATAAAAAGGTTCGTCATAATGGAGAGGAAATCCAACCGCGAGCAGAAAACACGTTCGATGTATATTTTTCGCAGAGGTCCGAAATGGAAATCACCAAAGTGCGATGCAATGCGATGCAATGCAATACGCGATGGAAACTTGAGACCAAAGGATAAAGGCGTCCAGTAACTCGAAAACGCGAACAAAAAATCGACACACGCAAGGCGGAAGACTGACTCCACAAACAACACCGAATAGTTGACAAAAAAGCAAATCACTGCACGATAACAAGACGTTCATCGGCGGATGCGAATCTGGCGGCGGGTGGTGGAAGTAGCCTCGTGTTCCGACTCAGAGGAGCAGTCAGATTCAGACTCGGCGGACAAATAACCGCAGCGAGTTCCGCCGCAGTCGAGCTTGACGCGGTCGCCCTTGCGAGTGATGCCGTAGCGTTCGCAAGTGCACACGGCCGGGGTGCGGACGGACTCGTCGCTGTAGGAAGACAGCGAGGACGGGGAGCTGCGGTCGGAGCGGGACGACAGGGACGAGCCGACAGAGCTGGGCGGGCTGTTGGAGAGGTACGAGTAGTCGTCCGAGTCGGAGTCGGACAGGGCAGCGCGGGCAAGGCGGGACTCGAGATCGGCCATGCTGGTTGGGGCACGCATGTACTGTTCTTGCGCGACGTAGCGAGTCTCGTGGGGCTTGATGGGCTTGGGGCTCTGGATCTTTGACGGAGACAGAGAGCGGCCCTTGACGATGCTACTGCTGATTGAGATGTTGCGGGTGGTCTGACGCTTGGCGACGGGAGCAGCAGCGGGAGCGGGAGCAGCGGCAGCCTTTCCGCCGACGACGGGCACGTCAAGAATGTTCAGCTTGCGGCCAGTAGTTGGCTCGACGGTCGATGACTGCGCGGGGTCGTGCGAGACGTGGTAGCCATCCATGATGTACTACCAGGATATATTCGTATTAGTATTCGGAAAACCCAGGCTCCATGTCATGAAATACTGAGAAAACCAGAAGTTCAACATACATAGTACCAGTAGCGCTGGCCCTGCTTCAAGGTGCTTCCGGGGAAGCGAAAGGTGCCTTTCCATCCGCCAGTCTTGGAAGAGTCCTTGGACAGCGGGAGCTGGCCAGAGTAATTGTCCCAAGACCCGAGCAGGTGGACGGTCTTGACATTTGCGGAGGTGCGGAGAGTGAACGAAAGCTGGATAGCGGCCATTATGATGTAATTAATCTCAGACACAAATAATTAATAAAACTCGGCGACGTTTGGGAGGTTATCCGTAGAGTATCGCGAGCGCTGACGTAGAGAATGGTAATAATGCACTTTCAAGAAAAGTATCCGACCGGCGGAAACTTTCAATGAGAAATTATAAAAAAATTTTAACACAGGCACTGAACCAGCTCGTGAAATATATCACGAGCAAAGAGACTCAGACTTAGAGAATCCGACTGTGTATTTGGAGTTTAGAAGAGCAACAGAGCTATCAAGTCGACCAGCGACAAAGAATTAGATTGGTTGATGCAAAAAAATGTGTGTAAGGGGGGTGAGCACAGCTCTGAGAGGGCAGGGTAAAAACAAAAAAATAAAAATTTAAAACAAAAAGATAGCTCTGAAAATTGAAAATGTTGCTAAAGGGGAGAAAAAGAAGAAAAGCTTCAAAAGGCGAGTGGGCGAGGGTGCTCTTATGTTTGGGCGGCACCGAGCCCGGAAAAGGGGACTGAGACCGGCGACTCAGGATGGCCTTGCCCGGTCCCTCCCACCAACGTCGCCCTTCCTGCCGGCAAGTATGGATCATTCCCCGGTTCAGGAACTGGACCATACGGTGAGTCCATTCGGGCTTCTACCGATTTGAGGTCTCAGCGTGCAGGTCGCAGGCCGCATGAGAGCGACATGCATATTGCGGCGCGTAAAAATGCACGAGTAAGGTTCATTTGGCGAAGACCGACATCTGTGTGGCAGCACCCGTGAGAGTTCCGGGGGTTTGCTCTAGCCGACCCCTCTCCGCAGCTCTCATCAAGGTGTAAAGCCTCAAGGAGCGACCACTCAAAAGCGACTCAGTCAGCCATGAACGTAAGAGCGGCCGTGCTTGAGAAGAGGATGGACATGGCGGAAACCTTTTTCCCTTCTGACCTATGAAGGCGAAATAAACGAAATGAGCAAGAGAACGATCAACCAAGGAGAGATGGTAGAGGGGGGTTAGAGAAAGTCCAGTGAGCAGTAGTATACGAGGAGAGAACAAGTATTGAACCAGTTGAAAGTCGAATACTGTCAATCAACTCTCAGCCAGCATTCCAAAATGGAAAAGAGTAGCTAAAGCAGGACTCTGCTAGTCCATAAGGACGGCCCTGTTTGAGGCTCTCACCAGCCATTAATCAGTGCATGTTGGAAAGTGCGTCTTCTAAACACGCAATTATCAATTGAGTGGCGTTCTAGGGTATGCTTAGTTGCAGCAAGAAAGAGCAACATCCATATCCAACCGAATCACAAACGGACCGTCTGTTGGTCGATAGCTGATGTAGGTATGTCTTGGATGAGAAGACCTGGGGGATCGTCGATTTTCTGGGCGGGTAAATGGCCATCGTGATTGGCTAGCGATCAACGACATCCCACGAGGCGTCCGACAGGTCCGAGAGCTGTCTATTCCAATGCAACACAAGACCCCTCAGCTACAAGCGTTGAGATGCTATAACTAGCCCTTGCAAACCTTGTAGCTACCGTCGTCACTATCATAAAAGGTGTGATAATGAAGAGGATGCCTAATTCTTTTTTATGAATTGTACTCCACGAGTCGTTTCAGTGGGAGATCTTGTCAATATATAATTTGTCCTCCAAGTCCTTTACAAAGTAAGCTCAACTGAGCGGATTTTAGTATCTTGACCCCGAAAACAATCTTGGCAAGTACTCTTCGAAAAGAAAAGCGGTAATAGCAGCTGTAGAAGAGGGTGAGGGGGAAGCAAGACGTCATGATGAGAGCGGGGGAAATGTGTACTGCATCTTACATACAAAGGTACCGTAACGTATTTCGCCGTCGCTACTATGATGACAGACGGCATGGGCCCGAAATTGGTGTATAGTAAACCGGTAAATGATGAATCGGTGTGGACGAATCCTGAATGCTCATTTGCCTACGAGAAGTCATCTGCACGCCTTGCAGGCACGTCAAAGCCCCACGGTATTTTGCCTTGCGTCGCGTTCGCAGCGTACACCATGCCCGTAAATCATGACATGCAGAGAATGAGATAGCAACATTTATCTGAACCAATAAATCTTTCTGGCATAGAGTTACGGGCCGGAGGAGTAATGAGACGGCAGGAAATGACACTCAATGATGTTCAGTTTCTCCACCTCTAGTATCACCATAAGATCGCTCTTATTGTTGACTGCTCAGGCAGAATGCTGAGCCATTGTCATTGTACACACTAGATGATCCGGGATATTGTACGGATGCAGCACTGTCGACCTTGCCGGAGGTTCTCTCTTCAACATCTGGGGACCTGAGCGCAGGTAATACATTACCTTTGTCTCCCTGTTCCATACCCGCTCCGTCTTCGATCCAGACAAGAGCCGACATCACATGCACAGTTTGCGGGATGCAGAAGCCACAATCACTAGATTCCAATAATCGTACAGAGCATCTAAAAAAGAAATTATATCAAATTCATCAATCGTAAGCTACAGAATTACCATAATCACCACAATCAATGGGCAAAGTAAGCGACTAATACGTCCGTGGTATGAATAACGTAATGCAGTCCAGAGAACATAGCTTTCCCGTGACATGACAACATCCATGCTTTTTCCCGCGGCTTAACGGGAGTGCCTTCGCAGTACTGCTCAGAGCCATATTAATTCTTTCTTTAAATCTTGACCCCGCTAGGAACGCTCAAGTCCAGGGGGTTGACGCCTTTCTCAATCTCACTCTTGCTGGGCATCCCATCTCTGCGCATCAGCTCGGCGCTCTTGGTCATGATGGGATCCATTTGCATGCTTGCGACAGCAACAACGGTCTCGCCCCGGGTGTAGTATGCTACAAACTTGGCTTGTTCAGGCTCGCCCTTGATCACAACGTCGTCATAGCCATTGTGAGTGTTACCACAATACCGCAGTTGCGAGCCCAGTGCAGACCAGAAAACAGGAATAAATGGCTTCGGCTTTGCGCCAGGGTGAGCAATAGAATTCGCGACGCTTCGGCCCGCGTTTTGCGCAACGTTCCAGTGCTCAATCCGGGTGAGTTCTCCGTCGCCGCCGGGGCCATGGTAGGGGTAAGAAGCAATATCTCCAATAGCATAGACGTCTTGTAGGCCCGTAACCGCAAATGATTCGTCTGTCTTGAGCGAGCCATCCTTGAGAAGTTCAATTTCCTTTGCATCTTTAAGGAATCCTGTTGCAGGCTTGACACCAATTCCTAGCACGACAAGGTCGGCTTCCAGATCGGTGCCATCCTTGAGGTGTACTGCGCCTACACTCTTGGAGTTGTTGCTCGATGGAGTAGCTTTGTCCACGGCGGCTCCCAACTTAAACTTGACTCCATTCTTCTCAAGTAAAGACTGAAATATCTTGCCCACCTTGGTTCCCATGACACGCTCCATTGGTGCACTCTCTTGTCCAACGCATGTGACTGTGTTACCCTTCTGAGCGAGGCAGTTGGAAATTTCCATGCCAATGAAAGAGCTGCCAATTACCACAATTTTCTTACCATTGTCCCCAACGGCAGATACGATGGCTTCGGCATCCGGTACCGTTCGGAGAAGGAAAATATTGTCAAGTTCTTTAAAGCCCGGCAAGGGAAGCTGATTGGGAACGCCACCAGTAGCCAGGACAAGCTTGGTATACGGATAGTGCGCGCCCTTCTTTGTGGTTACTGATTTGCTGGCAAAGTCCACCTTGGTAACTTCGTCGTTGATCAGGTCAATTGAGGCACCACTCCAATATTCCTTGGGTCGCCAAGTCAATTTGGACACATCGGTCAGGAGGGCTTTAGAAAGCTTGGTCCGGTCGATCGGGGGGTAGGGTTCGAGTGAAATGACAGTGATTTGTCCTTTGAAACCACCCGTCCGCAAACCGCTAAGTGCGCCAAAGCATCCGCTTCCACTATTTTCCCAAACTTGTCAGTACATCTGTGTTAGAGGCGTGCATATTGAAAGGAATAAGCCATACCCTCCAACAATGACAACCTTTTCAGAGCCAGTGACAGAGCAAGCCATATTGGGTTGGACCCTTCCTGACTGAATAGTCTTCTCATCTCCTGTAATATAAACGGCGCCGGTTTTCTCTGCAATGCCAAAGGTCGCGATTGGATCCGGAGCGGGCGAGTCCTCAATGTCGCCAGTGCTGACTTTGAAGCACGCTGCGGGCGTATTAGTATCAACACATTCAAGCACGGCATATAGATCTTTCTCACCTCCATGCCAGGGGCACGTTAGTCTGCCTTCAGGCGTCACGACACCATTCTTCAAAGGTGCGCCATAATGGGTACATTTTGGTCCAACAGCATGAGTCTTGTCCCCAACTTGGACGAGTAAGACTTTGCCATTCTCAACTCCCTCGACCTCGACCTCACGCTTCTCGCCAGGCTGAAGGTCAAGTTTCGTAAGGTCTTTGAGCTTGAACTCGTGTGTCGCCATAATACGAGATGTGGACGATAAAAATGCTCTGGGTATGCGTGATTGGAGCTGCCCGGGGATGTGTCAGTAATGACCAATTGCCAGCTATCTCATTGATGAAAACCTACAAGTGAGCTAGGTTGGGTGAGAAGCTTAGAACTGGTTGCCCTTTGAGCGTTATTGTAGATTGAAAAGGATAGTCGACCTGACAACATAAAGAGAGGGAAGATAAAGGCGAGGGCCAGGGACGTGTGGGGAAGATGCAATGAGAATAGCCAGCAAGATCCAATCACTGTGCAAATAGCGGGGTCAGGCAGCGATAGTCTGATGATGATGATGTCGGATTCGTTTACAAAATGCTAGCAGTCTACAGAATGGGGAGGACCTTGTGAAATAAGTTCCGCTTCTTTTGCTTTGATTGATTTACGTCGTTGCAGAGCAAATGGCTGAGCTGAACACTCCCAGCATCAAGGGCACGCAATTGATCGATTTCCTTGCTTACTCTCTGCATTGTTTAGACTGGATGCATTACATGACGACGATGTCATCATCTTTGGTTACTGCGGGAGAGATTCCGCTGGATAACCCCAGTAACGCATGAGCCCCCCAGACAAGCCCCCTGCTTCGGTTAGCCAATCAAGGCGAGCCAATTAGTGATTGAGCCATGACACCTTGGCCGACCGTGCTCCATAACCATATTATGCAGTTTTATGAAGATTTGTGCATTTGAATATTCGATTGCAATACCATATGTAATATGCGAATATTTGGTAATTTTGAAACAGAGTAGCCATGATTGTGCGTAAAAGAACCTTAAAAAATCATCTTGGGTATAGATTGATCAGTCTTCGACAATTTGTCTGATCCAGTGTATAGTTCCCCCATGCGTTCCACAGAATCCAAAAAGTTTCCCATACTTGAAAAGTCGTGAATCTCGAAAGCTCAGGAACCAAAAACAAAAATTAAAGGTGGAGGGAAATGAAATAATACATGTATGGGTTGAACGATACGTTAGGCAAAAATTATATCAGCCAGACGGCACCGCCAACCATGACCGCAATCACCCAATAGCCGGCTTGCTGAAGCAGCATCTGCTGCATGCCGCCAGCGCCGGATGTTGATCCTGCAGCGGTTGTGCCATTAGGCAAGGTACCGTTAATTAAAATGGTCTGCGTGCCGTTAACCTCGGCAACGTGTACTAAGCTACTATTCATGGAGCTTTCGCTGCCATTGCCAAGCAGAGACTGTATGTAAGCAGTGTTGTTGTTGCTGTCGCAGCCGCAGACGCTGTATTGCTGGCAGAAACATTCCACGGGCAAAGTCTGATTGACACCATTTGGATTGGTTGCGTTTGTTGCTGAACTGTTGTGGAAGGTGTAGGGATGACCATAAGGATAGGCATAAGCTCCGTAGAGCCAGAGGCCAGGAAAGAATGCCAGCGCTCCGACTGGAAGCAAGAACGGCGCGATTCCTAGAGGTGAGCGCCGACCTGCAGAGTAGGGAACGGCTGCACCACCTCCGTAATACCCGCCATATGCAGGTCGAGGTCCTGAACCAGACTTGGTCTGACCGCCTGCATTGGACGAACGGGAAGAAGAGGAAGAACCTCCAGATTTAGAGCCGCCTATACACACCTGTCAGCTGGAGTACAATGAGTTTATTTATGACTTGACTGCATCTGCCGCCAACCCACCCTGGCGGCCATCTTCATTGCCACCACTACCACCATCATCATCATCGTGATAATAATACGTGACAACATAAGGCCAACCCCAACCACGAGAGCCACCATAATAGCTGGTGCCCCAACCACCATTACTTGGGTAATATGGGCTTGAAGGAGTAGAACGGGAGGAATCTGATGGAGGACGGAATGACGAATACCCACCAGACTTGGAACCGCTTGACGTGGAGCCACTCGACTTGGAGCCTCCAGATTTGCTCCCTCCTGCAAGCGGTCCATGTTGGTAGGTGTAATATCGAACTGAAGGAGAGAGAGTTTACTTACCACCGCTACCACTACTCTTTCCACCACTTTTCCCACCTGATCCACCCCCGCCACGGCCGCCGCCGCCGCCTCCTCCTCTTCGCTTTTCTAGGTCTTTCAAGGTAGGAGAAGATGGATCAATTAGCTCGCCAAGTGCTTCTGCCCCTCTTCGAAAAACTGAAACATCTCGGCCAGGTATTGACAGAGCATCAAGGAGACAGGCGCAAGCAAGCAGCAATGCCGCTGTTAGGAGAATCTTCATGTCTAAAGGTTTCTAAGTAATTGCAAACACAAGGCGAATGACAAGGCTGCGACAAATTCAATTTGTCTTAAAAATGAAATGAAAAGACGTAAGAGTATTATATAAATGCCGTCAAGAGACCGATTTGCGTTTTGACTAGAAAGTGAGCTATGGAGTGCAAAGCCTCAAATTGGTGTAGAAAATTTCCTTAGTTGATATTCAAGACGGAGGAAATGAGGAGTTGATGATGATGATGATGATGATGGAGTAATACTAGTAAGTTGGCCACAAGGCTGATCTTCGTGGAGTCATCTTGCATCAAAATACAAAATTTAGCCAATCAGCAGGGTCCCCAGGCCAGGAAAAGTATGGGTAAAAGCACTGTCAGAATCAATGAATGAGGCAAAGTACCACCAGAGCCTGAGAGGCGGTGCGCGCGACCAGACAAGCCACCCTCCGGCTTTCGCTAAAGTTGCCTATACCATCCATGGTAGGTATTACGTCTGAGGCAGTGCATGCCGAGAACACTGTCATTGTTTTTGATAGCCTCAAGGTTCGTGAGCGACATATTTCTATGGTGTCAATTCATTAATTCCAATTAGCCTGTGGCACTGCCATTGAATAAGCCATTCAGAGCACCGACTGAAGTCAACAGGCCGAGCATTTGCCTATCTCAACCTCACAATCTTGAGCGCCTTTCTCTTGGTTAGAGGATCCTTTTCCTGCTCCGAGTCATACTCTCTAAGCCAGTCAACCCAGATGCGTATCATTCAATGCTAAGCTTTGTCTTAATCTCGTCAATACATTCCTGATGACAGTGTGCAGGAAGCACCTTGGGAAGCAGTCTGCCAAATCGTGAAATAGGCTACGCCTATCTTGTTCCCCAGATTTGTCACTCAGATAAGAAGCGAGGAGTGTTTTATGGTAGACAGTTCTCGCTACTTGACGAGGTACCCGTCTACGGGAAACTGAGGCAGATTTGGGACAAACGGATTGACCAAGGCAGAGAAGCTATGCTTATCATTGATGGAACGTTTCAAGTGTCCAATCTCCCCTTTATCATCTTGACCTTTCAATTCCATAGCATAGCGACTTCCCCTATGACGATTCGGGAATAGAGATCCCGAGCCTGTTATCTATCACCACAGTTGACAGGGGGAAATGAGGACCAGCAAGTGTCCCGAAAAGCAATTCAGTGCAAGTTGGAGATTTGAGACAGGTAACGTACTCTGCTATCTCACCCTCTCCCATTGGCCAATCGATGCTGCTGTTCAGAAGGGGATATCTCTCGTGTGTGGGCTTTCGTTCAGTCTCTGTAAGTACAGAGTACTCCAATCATCTTTTTAACTTGCAGTTTTTGCAGGTACTGGCTACTAGTATCAAGTCGCTGATATGCAAGCAGCCACCCCACCCTCACACTAAACCAAAAGCAGCAGCTATTTACAGTGGGGGATTTTCCAGCCAGATCGTCCCGTTGACAGATATCAGTCCAATCACAGTCCCCATTTTCTTTGCGTTTGAAGGGTATGCACCGTTACTCTGCCTGGACCCTGTATGAGGCCTCAAATCGCCACAGGAGCCAGCACTAGTCTCTGTGAATGCGGGCGTGTGTCACTAATGCAAACAGATAACGAGGCAACTCCACAAAAGGAACCCAATTCACTGAGAATATAGCGCGAGACCTACCGGTAGGTAGCATCAGTCGATAAATGTTCGAAACGTACCTAAAAGATGCAACCCAGGCAAGCACTGAACTCCTACCTTATCATCTTCTAGGTTAGCAATTGGTCGTCTTGTCCCTGGAAAATCCTTGCTACCAACCTTTAGGGCTCCGAACTCTGACCACCACGTGAGCATCAGGGCCGAGATCGAGATTTGACTTTTTGCGATGGAAACAGGTACGGCAAAATAATCTAATTCCTATGTGGTCATGCCCCGCGTTTCGATGTGTTCATAGTGGAGCAGTCAGCCGAGCGCCAAGCAGAACTTCAATTCGACCTTAATAAACTTCCGGCGAATCACACAGAGATTTGTGACGTTCTAAGGGGGCATAGACCGGGAGCAAGAAGTGGGCGAGGGGTGGTTAGTCCCAGATGGCCCAGGTTCCAACACCATATATTTCTCGGCGGGCAACTAAACCTTCTACAGCAACCTCTTCCCCGTTAATGTGGGCCGTACCACGGCTAAACCTTGTCGCTCAAAAGGAACCGTCTTCAGGCCCCCACTACTGTACTTACGTACGTTGGTGCAACTTGCACCAAAAGGAAAAGCTTCCGGAGAATATTACGCCGCGAATAATCATGTTATTGGTTCAGTCTGCGGAGAGAGGATTTTTTACCTACTGACGCTTTTATCTTTACGCCGGACCATCCATCGTCGGATACCAGTACTAAAGCGCCCTGAATCCCGGCCCTCTTATCCTATCTTTTCTTTTCCTTCTAACTTTTACCTTTTTGAGCGATTGCTGTCAGGCGGAGGCCAAAACAATCTTGTATCAAAAAAAACCACCCTTTATAAGAAAGAGCCTTGAAGCTGAATATCAGCTTGCATTCGACTTTGGCAATCAGATCTCTGCGGTGATCTACATGTGGATGCGTGCCTGGTGATCAATCCGCCTCGTGCAAAGATCCTCACCCGCGATAGCTCCGCCCAACGCAACAATACTATTTTGTTGAACTGATCGTTGAAGCGTCATATCGATTGCGCCAACTCGTATAGGAAAAAACAACGCATTGAGCTTGAACGAGAGCTTGACAGACAGCCCACGCGACCTCGCCCAGAGCGCCTTAGTTTGGTCAGCCCTACGCAGCAACGGGTCCTCGAGTACAGCCCAACGCAGCAAACACATCTCCGTGGACGCTTCATTTCTACTGCCCAAAGCGCCAATTTGCCCGAGATGCAATTGTTTGTAAATCCGTTCCGGAAGCACGATGTTTCCGATTTCCCCGGCGTTCTAGTACCTCTGCGGGATGCTCATCGGCACAGATCGGTGGTGACGGCTGGCGATGAGAAGCTTGATGGTATTGATGGAAAAACCAGCCCTAACGGTGCCAATGATGAGGAGCAGCCTCATCGCAACAGCGAAACCTACAGCCCTTACACTATTGAAGGATTGAGGGCCGAAATTGCTCACGAAGTCGCTGCTTCGGGTCACGATAGTGTCTACGACCGTAAGTACATATTATTTTTTTAGGCGGCAGTTTTCCGGGACTGACATGCTGTAGGCAAATCAAAACTCATCAATTTGGCCATTCAAGACATTGGTATGGGCCGATACAACTGGCAGCTGTTTGCGCTGTGTGGTTTTGGATGGTTTGCAGACAAGTGAGTAGAGTGTACCTTTTCACGTGGCATTTGGACATGTCAACTGACTTTATGCGCATAGCCTTTGGCTTCAGGTATAATATCTTCAACGAACGAATGAATCATCGTATATTGATCTGACCCTTATTCTTTTTCCAGGGAGTTGCTTTGACTCTTCCGTCACTGTCCGCAGAGTTTGGTGTTGACACCACCAATGTGCGATATACGACTTTGGCGACCTTTTTAGGTCTTTGCATCGGCGCCAGTGTTTGGGGTATCGGCTCTGACGTAGTGGGTCGTCGGCTGGCCTTCAACATGACCCTCTTCATCGCTGGTGTTTTTGGTCTTGCCGTTGGCGGGGGTCCCAACTGGATCGGAGTTTGCGGCATGTTTTCCGCTCTCGGAACCGGAGTTGGCGGTAACCTTCCTGTCGATGGCGCTCTCTTCCTCGAGTTCCTTCCCATGGCCTCGAGCGGACTCTTGACCTTGTTGTCTGTCTGGTGGCCCGTCGGCCAAATGATAGCTTCGTTTTGTACGTTGTCTTCCTAAAAAAATAAAATCCTAAGACGCCTCTACTAACATCACGAAAAGTCGCGTGGGCGTTTATTCCCAACTACAGCTGTGCCTCGGACCTCAAATCCTGCAACCTTACTCCCCCCGGCCAGCCATGCTGCGGCAAAGACAACAATATGGGGTGGAGATATCTTACCTTTACCCTCGGAGCAATCACCTTTGCCATGTTCTTGTGCCGATTCTTCCTCTTCCACCTCTTTGAATCTCCAAAATTCCTTCTCGCGCGGGGCCGCCAGTCTGAAGCTGTTGCCGTCGTGCACGGTCTCGCATACAAGAACAGAACCACCACGTGGTTGACCGAAGAGATTCTCGACGAGGTTGGCGGGCTCAGCGAGGTCAAGACCAACACCAAGCTGAGCTTCTTCCAAGTCGTTGAGCGGCAACTTACCAAATTCTCCTTGGAACGGATTAAGCCCCTCTTCCACACCAAAAGGCTCGCCATTACCAGTACGTTTTTGTGTCCCCTCCCTTTTTCTTCTCTTTCCCCCTTGCTCTTCTTCCCTCCCCCGCCTCTCTCCCCAAAAAAGAAAAACCTCAAATCACAAAACTAACATGTCCATTCTAGCCATTCTTGTCTGGTTCTGCTGGGCCACCATCGGCATGGGCTATCCCCTCTTCAACGCTTTCCTGCCCCAGTATCTCGCAAACGCCGGCAGCTCTAGCGGTCCGACTCCCACGTCTGTAGTGTACCGTGACTATGTCATCACCTCGGTCGTCGGCGTACCCGGTTCCATTATTGGCCATTACACTGTCAACATCAAGTATGTTGGCCGTAAGGGCACCATGGCCATTTCCACTGCCATTAGCGGAATCTTTCTCTTCTTATTCACTTGCTCCACCAACTCCAAGTATCAAGTCGCCTTCTCCTCTCTCGAGGCCTTTTTCCAAAACATCATGTATGGTGTTTTGTACGCTTAGTACGTTCCTCTCCCTTCTCTCCCCCTTTTTTTCCCCTTCCCTCTCGCTCTCGCTTTTTTTTCTTGGCTCTTTTCCTTCCTCTCTTTTCATATACCCCTCGACTCCTTCGTCCCATTTATTCTTTCTCCCTTATCCTTTCTCTCCTGTTATATACCTAAAGAATCATCAAGAAAACTAACCATCTCTTTCACCAACAGCACTCCCGAAGTCTTCCCCGCTCCGAACCGCGGCACCGGCACCGGTATCGCCTCGTTCCTCAACCGTGTCGCTGGCTTCTGCGCTCCCATTGTCGCCATCAACGCTGGCCAAGTCAATCCCAAAGCCCCCGTGTACGCCTCTGGCGGTCTCTTCCTTGCCGCCTTTGTCGCCATGTGTTTGCTCCCTATTGAAACAATGGGCAAACAGAGCTTGTAAAAGTGGTATTTCTTTTTCATCTTCACTTTTTTTTCTATTTTTTTTAAGTATCTTTTTTTCAGTATCTTTTTTCAATATCTTTTTTTTTCTCCGTCTTTCTCCCCCAACTCCCTTCTCCGTCTCTTTCTTTCCCCTCCCTCTTTATTCTCGATCGGTTCAATGCCGTGTTCTCTAGACTTGGCTCGCTCAAGTTAGAGGGATATAGAGTTTATTTTCAACGTCAGACGGCCAGGACGAGGGCGTTGACGTTGACGTTGATGTTGACGTTGAGTTTTTGTAAGCGCGACAGTGCGCGGCCAGAAACAAGAGCGGGAGTTCGCTCACAGATATTGTTTCTATGACACCTCTGTTGTTCCCTTGACTCTTCCTCATCCTTTTTTATTTCGATGACTTTTATTTTTCCTTTTCCTTTTTCTTTTCCCCTTTCTGTTTTTTTTGGGGGGTCCTACTCTTGGTTGGCCCGGGCCGTCATGATTCACTTTATTTCTACGACTTCCCTTTTTCTTTTCTCATGATTGATCTTATGACCAGCTAGCAAGGATACCAGAACTGAGCGAACCTCTTTTCCTTTTTCTTTTTCTTTTGCTTGTTTTTTAAATCTCTCTTTCTATTAAGATATATACACGAACATCGCACATATATATGAAACTGTATATACTGCGTACGCACAATATACAATATACGATACACAATACACAATACATGATACACAATACACAATGTACACACAAAATAATATAAGGGCCTTGGTTCGAACAGGACAGGACAGGACGATTTCACCGTATTCACAAAGACGATGGATATAAGCGAAGAATCGAAGATGAATGTTAGACTTTGTTGACATGGTATCGATGGTGGGTGGGCAGATGGGCAAATGGGCAGGTGGGGAGACGATGGATGATAAAGATGACAGGGGATATCAATGGATGGCAAGAAATGACAATGGATGTCAACAGATAATAACAGCTCAGCATGTTATTACGTGTAGACTCTTGCATTCTAATAGCAAAAGTCAAGAGGTAGTATCTTAAAGATTCACATGTGCGGAGTTTCACATGTACCATACCTGAGACAGCGGTGAAAACATGAACATGTTCTGATAAATGTCGTTGTCCATGATGATAAGGAGTCCAATAGTGCATGGCAAGTAACAGTCTCGGAGACTCGTGGCCGCTGAAAATGCTGTCTAGTGATAGGGGGATACAAAGAAAAAGAGAAGAAAAAAAGGAGGAGGAAAAAAATAAGAGACGGAAAGAAAGAAAGAAGAACTGCGCTTCCCAACTCCACTGCTCTCCTTAATGACTTTTTGCATCGCTGCATGTCAATCGTAACCGTAACCGTAAATGTCATAACTTCATAAGATTAGTCGTAATCGTCATCAATGTCCTCAGTCTTGATGACGACGTTTGCCTCAATAGTGGGGATTGCATGGTCACTTGCGTTGCCTGCAACAATTTCCTCTCTTGTCGGTCTCTTTCGGTTTCTCTCACCGTCATTGTCGTCATCAGAGCCTTGCGCCATGGCACTGGATGAGCGCTTGATAGGAGGCTTTGGTTTCCCACTTATATCGTTTGGGCGCCATGAGCCATCCTTCTCTACAGTAATAGTGGTTGTATCAAGCAAGTCTTCTTCTTCCAACTGTTTGCGGACATTGACTAGGAAGCCGTCGACAATGAGCTGAATTGGAGTGGCGGTATTTTTGCAAATGGGACATTGCCATTCGTCTGGATCAGAGGGGCTGTCTGGAGCTCGCCTGGGACGGGCTGAAAGGTACGTTTCGAGGTCAAAGCATTCGCGATGATAACAGTGTCTGCTGCGTGCAGGGATGTTGAACATTCGTCCGCTAAAAGGGTCCCTTAGGTCAATGACGATGTTATCGTCTGAAAGTGGAATCTCACCGCTATTGTTGTTGTTGTGGAGGTGATTGTCATGCGTCGCGGCAGCATTGTTGCTTCTGTGGTCGGGATCCGGTTGGATACGCTGGCTCAGACATTGTTTAATCTCAGCGATCGTTGCTTCTGCAGGCTTGACATAGTTCTTGACCAGCTCCTTCACAATGGAGTCGTGCTCGCTGACTTCAAGAATCTCAATTGTCAAAAGGAATTTAGTATCTCGCCGTTGATCATTAGCCCGGATCGTATGAACGACCAGCGTATTCACCATTCCGGGCCGTACAAGATCTGTCAGGTCAATGGGAAAGTGCTGTCCGCAAGCAGTCGCTTGTCGAGCTTGAAATACGAAGACCGGGTGGACCCCCATGAACATAAAATGGAGTGGAGGAAAGCGTGTTTTTGCCTCAAGGTATGAGCGATAAAATTTGGCATACTGGCTTTGATTTTCAATGACGGGACCGCCTACAATATTTTCCATATCGCAGCACCGAAGACGGTACGTTATAGAGCCTGGTCCGACGAGCCTCATAAAGGGTGGATCCCCAGTTGTATGAGCAATCTTTGCGATTCTTCCGTGCGTGGCAGGGTCAATCCCAAAGACACATCGATATTTACCCGTCATTTCCAGTGTCTTTGGCAGCAAGGCCCACGCTTTTACATACTGATAATAACGTGGCTGTGTCCCGTTATCGCCAGTGGTATAGTTGACGCAGCGGAGTACCGGATTCGGTGGGGAAATCTCCTGCAACATGGACCCTCTAGGGTATCTTCTGTTGACGGTCTCGTTGGTTTCGAGGCTGAGTGGATTCAAAGATGGACCGATGAGCTGATCTAATACACTTCTCGGTGCGATCGGGGCACGAGCCTCATTTGGCTGGGGAGGGACCTGTTGAGAGTGAAACCCGGCTCCACTAGAATCTGAAGGAACATTGTGGCGACCCGGCGCGGACATGCCCCAGTGTCCTCCTGGCTGCGGCGCGTGCAGACCTGCAGAGGCGTCCCCCTGGTACGTGGGAGCCGAGACTCCCCGGAGAAATGCAACTCGAGAATCTGTGGCGAAAGCGTGTGGAAATTCTCTCAGCCTTTGCATATGTCGTTTAAGTTCCTCTCTCGCGGCTGGTAATCCTGGTCCTCCAATCATTAGCCAGTAATGACGGTCGGTGGCCGTCAGCAGCTCTTCTGGCCTGGTGATAGACTGCCAACCATTCATCCGTACTGCCTGTGGAAATGGAACTGCCTGCCTATGTTTTGCATACTCCCTTTCAAACGCCTCCTTAAGAACCTTCTCTTGGTTTTGCATGTACTCGCAGAAGTGCGGTGCAGGTCCGCCACGGCGTGAGGCTAGCACCAAAAGAGGCAGAACTTCTCGCTGCTGGCTCCGGAAGAGATCGCCAAGATAATAAAGCGTTTCGAGGGGCGGCTCAAGGAAGATGTAATTGACAACATCCAAAAATATTACCCGCTGGAGTATGATTGATGACAGACCGAGGTCATTTGCTATCTCCTGCGGCGTCGGGGGTATGTGCCGATTAATGCACTTATAACGCAGCGCAGGAAGCTTCGTTGGGAGACCAAGCAAAAATTCCTTGATCTCTGGCAATGCGCTTCTAAACAAGTACCAATCGGCAGGCGACATTTGCAAGCGAATGCTGTTGGGAAAAGTTGCAAATTGTATTATGTACTCGAGATTCTTCACAGGAAGTAGCAAACTGTCCAACATCTCAAAAGGGTTGTCAAACTCGCGCCCAAACGCGTCCACTAGCCGACTTCTCCTTTGCCCAAGTTGTGGTTTCTTAATACAGAGCCGATGAAAATGGATAAAGAACCAGTCTCCAGCTTGGCACGCATCTTGCAAGAGCATGAATCTGACATCTTCGATGGTAGGGCTTGGCTTGGGCTGATCCTGGCGAACGCTCAAGTTTAGAAGATCCAGTTGCAGAATACTCAGCGGATTCCCGTATCCTGCAGGTATTCGAGGCGACCAAGCAGAATGTGCAGATCCAACGCCTGGCACATTCGACCTCAGCTGATTCGTCTCGCTTACATCCGTCTGGTGCGCTGTATTGTTGTCAAGGTTGGCTCGTGAGGTAAGGAAAGAAGGTGTTTGCTTCACTGCGTTATTCTGAGGTACGCGTGGTGCGCTTGCATTTTGGCCAAGCTGCACCGCCGAGCCAGAAAAATGAGGAGTGGATGACGTAGCTGCGCTCCCGTGAGAAGGGTTTCTTTCTGGATAATTCTCATTCTTGGCTACATGCAAAGACGGGATGTGTTGAGATACATTTGATTGAAAGACTGCATTTTGAAAGCCTGTATTTGTCCGAGTCCTTGGTGTAACAGTTGCCGATACAGGTGATTTGTCGAATTCGTTCTTTATCAGAGCCCCTCCGTATTGAGGAGATGAGAGAAGCTGGGTCTCTGTTGAGTTCAAATATGAATTCGGCACGCTGGCTGGCTTGCAATCCCTCGGGGCCGAGATATGCTTGCTTTTAGGACTCGGACGGGGCGGAGCGCTGGTCAAGCGACTTGGGCTTGACGTGACTTGACCATGGCCGTTCATCGATGCTTTTAGTCCCCTTGCTAGATCATCAGAGGAGCTCATCGTGGTCTCCTCCTGCGACTGGGCAGATTTGGATGGCTCTTTTGCCTCTGCCAACTTCCATTTGGTCATCATCAACCTATGTTTATTCTGTGGAGATTAGTCAGTAGATGCTATGATTGCATTGTTTTGTTCTTTCACTGACATAGACACTTGCAGATACATGTATCTTCACTTGACCAGGCTTGCAATAAATACCCTGTTCGATTTCGTGCTTGAGAAATATTCAAAATCAAGCAGGTGCATGTACAGACGAGAGATGCAAAGAACTGGTTGGAGCACTGTTGGTAGAAGACAAGCGTGGAGGAGAACACGAGAGCTGGAGGATCGTGATTGAAAGGTAAAGAGAGGCATCTGGCATTGTGATGAATGTGAGGAATCGTGAATCCATTTCTATTGTTATGTTTACTGACTCTATTTGGTGTCGTGTTGTGCAAATGTAGCGTGAATGACTTGGAGATAATATCATATGTACTGAAAAGGTACTTGGGAAACATTAGTGCCATCTGGTAATAATAAAGTTTATAAAAAGTCACTGTGAAGGAAAATAAAGGACAGAGAGTCAGCTCTGCACGCGACCAGGGTTACCAGGATCCTCTCGATTGGCTTTTTCGCTTAATTAGCGTTGTCGGGGCCGGAAGCGGGAACTGTTCCCAAACAGGAAGGATCCCAGGCCACGTTGCTCTTTCCTCTTTTGTCGTCATTTGGTGATCCTCTTCAGAATAAGAGAAAGAGGGAGAAATAAAGCAAAAATCATATTTTCAAGTAAAACACCTATATAATACGACAATAATGTAGTTGCTCGCTTCTATCCAACAAGGTTTTGCTCTGTAGCAGCAGAGTCCATCTAGAAAGTGTCTCGTGGACTCTTCGGTGCGTTTTTTATCGTTTCGTGTGGCTGAATCTTCGCTCTGCACGCGGATGCAGGGAGGGCCAGGTGGACAGGGCAGGTGCGGATCCGACCCTCGAGATGAAGACGCGTAAACTACTTGATTATCAAAACTTTTTCATGTACCTTTTCTACGTGGACTGCCCAGTTCCTCTCATTTGGGTTGTCAAGCCCAGTACTTCTGTCGCGTTTCTAAAGTATAAGAGTACTCCTGCGACCAATAAAGTGGTGTTGCCAGTCTCAGACTCAACCGCCGGAATCGATCAACCATGCAAGAATAATTGGATGGATGCATCGCAGAAAAGAAACAGTAGTTCACTCAACCACGGCTATAATTATTTGCGGCCGGCAGCATATCAGGGATCTCCTGCCATTCCTTTGACACGCACCCGGGGTTTGGGCCGCTCAAAAACGGTCGTGGCTCGAGCACCCGTAGTTTAGTCTCTCATGATATTAGTGCTGTCGAGCCCCAGACAAGTGTCAAAAGATTAGACAAGTCAACTGAAGTTATTCCACTACATCATCATACCTGACCAATTAGCCTTGTGCGTCTCTCTTGTCTGTATCATCAAACTTTGAACCTGTCTGCTCCTGAATCAATCTTGGTCGGAATACGCCATCATTTTATTGGGGCGAGTTACAGCCCCCAAAGTTCAACGGCGGTACTCCGTACTAGGTAGGTATTTACCACTGCTGGAGCCACCAGATTGGGAGGTTCCAGGAGGCCACCCCAGACGCAGCGGGTGGCGGCAATTTTACTTGTTTTCGACTGGGCAAAATCATTGAAGAAAGCTTCATCCAACCGACGGTGAAGAGCGACAAAACCTCAGAGCCCAGAGAGTGCAACCGACTCTGAAAGAATTAACCTTACCGCTCCGTCGCTGAAATCGGCCTCCTTTTCCGACTTGGATTGATGTACTGACCACACCCACTCACACACACCAGTAACACACCCTCCAACTCCCACTCGCTCACTCTCCGCCTTTTCTCTTTGACACGGACTCACCTTTATTTCTTCTTGGCCCACAAGATCCTTTTTGAACAATACTCCTCATCTTCTCTTCATTTTGCACCTCTTGCCCGGCCAATCTCCCATTCATCTGGTTATTTCCTTCTAGACGCTTTGGCCCTCGGCTACACCCCCGGAGCCTCGATTGTTCCGTTCATTCATTCAACTCCACGTGTGGCGGCTGCGTCGCTTCAAACCCCCCCGGTCCCGCCGTTTTGGTCCGAGACACTATCATCCTCATATCGCTCATCGCCCACTTCAGCGTCAACTTGTTGAGGGAGGCTTCCATAAGCTTGCACCAAAACCTTCAACTCACACAGAACAACTTTGCGCAAGCGCTTGGCGGGCTTATTCGTGAACAGCCGCAACGAGCCTGAACAGCTGGTGGCGCGCTGTGGAGAAGAATAGTGCCACAAAGCGCTGCGGGGTGATGCCTCGCATTCATCGTGGCAGATAGTGGTCGATGCAATTTGAATCATACCGCATGTTTCCTTGGCTGTCAAGTCGGTAATTTCGGTGACGACACTGCAATGGCGCTCCGGTATGGGACAGAATCGCCAAAGAAGGCGTATCCTGGCGAAATTCTTCTTGTTATCCGTAAGTGCGAGCCCAATTATATGGCTGTGACTGGAGAAAAGTATTCTACTTGGCTCTAGAACTGGGCTGAGAAACGGCTTGAAAAAGCGCTACTGCTAACAAGTACACTCCTCACCAATTAGATGATTTTGAAGCACGCAGCTCTGATGAGCTGACCCTCTCTAAAGGCGACCGCCTGGAGCTGATTGAACGAGATGATGATTTCGGTGATGGCTGGTATTTAGGCAGGCACATGCTGACTGGCATGACTGGCCTTTTTCCAGAGGGTAAGGATATCCCGGCGTCTGTCGCAAATGTATCTCCTCGCTCATCATCGTTGCTCAGTCTACACAACCACAGCCCCCAAAGGCCTGTCCGCATTTCGCACTGGTTTGACACCAACCCCTTCGACATCGACTCAGATCAAGGACGCGACAACCTCTCTAGGCACTCCATCCATTGACCAAGAGGGTTCCACAACATCTGCCACGCCGAGCCTCACGCCGCAATCCTCATACAATGCCGGATCGACTGATCACTTCAGCTCGAGCGCTGCTGCCGCCCCGGCACCACTTAATCCTTCGCAATCCACACAACCACCTGTGGCCTTGGCAAACCCCGTCATACATTCATCGCCCACTCCGATCGGCTCGGCGGCGCAGAGAAGCATCGGCGCGACCATGCAGAATCAGCACCTCCATGGACAAGAGAGCCCAGTCATGAATGAGACCCTCAGCGTCATTGATGAGCATATTACCGATCTCAGTACGCCTCGGCAAGGCGTGAACGCAGCTCTACGGAGGAGAGCAGCCGACTCGGAGAACGACTATGGCGCTCGCATCGATCATCGCCTTTCTTACATCGCCGGTCATGAAACCGACGAGGAAGAAGAAAACCTGCATACTGAAGAAGAGGTATCCCTCTGGACACCAGCTCAGGTTGCAACCTACCTCGAGGAAATGGGCGTCGAGCCTGCCCATTGTCAAGTCTTCCAGGAACAAGAGATTTCGGGAGAAGTCCTCCTCTCCATGGACCAGGCTGCGATATTCATCAAGGAATTTGACTTGGGTCCAGTCGGCCGGAGACTGCGGACGTGGAACAAGATTAAACAGTTGCAGCTGGAGGCCAAAGGTTCGAAGCCTGCCAGGCGTGATTCAAGAGGACCAAGCCGCGATGGTCGATCAAGCAGCATAGGAAAGGACAAACATGGCAGCGGCGCACCGGTGCTTCCGCGAATCCCGAGCTTGATGGAAAGCGCAGAGGTCAGATACAGCCGTTCGGCAGGATCCAAGGACGCGCCCCTTCCGTTACAGTCAACAACACCATCGGCGGCTATCTCGCCTACTAAATTCGTTCCTGCCGGCCTCTCGCAACAAGGCTCTCGCCGGCCCTCGGCCGCTTCCATTCGTGAATTCAACAACTCTCGCCGGCAATCTTCTCTCGACTATCCGAACAGCAGCGTACATCCTCCGCTGCCGGCACCTGTCCCCGCTAACCCTGGCCTCGGACATGCGGCCAGCCAGCCGATCGTCCCGCTCCATCGAAAAGCACCGTCTTTTGACAGGAATTGGACCATGGGCGAAATGTCTCTTTCAGCCGTAGTCAATAGTGGACGGCCGGCTACGGCCACCGCGGCAACTCACGGACACACCACCAGCACCGACCGCAACACGCTGTCAGCATCTCTTGGACGCGATTCTGTTTATTCTGCAAATGTCCCAGACCTTGATCGTGGATATTTCTCTGGTGGCGAGGCGGAGGACCGTAGGGCTCGAAATGTTCTCAAGAAACGAGACGTCAATGGACATTCTCGAAAATCTAGTTACACAGATGAACATCGACGACGGAGTAGCGCTGGAGTCGCCCGTTACACTCGCTTTGGAAGCACCGATTCTGGTCGAGACACGCTTGGCCCAGTAGTATCTCCTGCATCCAAGATGTACTACGGTATGCCCAAAGAGAGACGTGCCGCGAGCGCTGGCGAAGCTGGCAATACGCAGTCTACATCCAAGGCGTTCCTCCCACCAACTGTGACCAAGCTTGACTACGACCCCAACATGAATTCAACTGTCGTCACCTCAACTTCGAAGACCGAAAGTGATGTATCATCTAGTGGCAGGGGTTCGCCTTTACCTCAACTGAAAACTTCGGCGTCAAGCAAGCTGCGCGCATTTGGATTTCGGGCAATATCTGATGCAGTCACTGGTGGAGAGAAGTCCTTTTTCAGTTCGCCCCCCGGTTCGGCCAATTCGCTCAACGAATCCCCTCTGCGATCTCCCTCTCGTAGGGACTCTGGTACTCCTTCTGGCGGCTCGAAGAGCTTGGAGATGGAAAGTGCAGATGCAACCCGGAACAACAGCACCGGCTCCGGAGGCGGGACCCCTACATCCTCTGCAGGTGCTCGACGACGCAAATCCAAGAAGGAGACTAGCGCGTACATGCGCGGATTAGAGAAGAAGACGCCCCGTGAACAGATGGTCGGTTGCGATTACAGTGGGTGGATGAAGAAGAAGTCTTCTAACCTCATGGCTACCTGGAAACCGCGTCTGTTTGTACTTCGTGGCCGACGCTTGTCGTATTACTACTCGGAAGATGACCAGGAAGAGAAGGGGTTGATTGATATCTCATTTCATCGGGTGCTCCCCGCCGACAATGACCGACTTCATGGGCTGCACGCAACCCTCACCGGCGCTAGTGTCACATCCATGTCTCCGCAAAAGGCGCAACTCCCGACGAATGCTTCTGAGGAGGTCGCAAATGACCCTGACCTGCAAACGGTTAAATCGGCCAACGAAGGCCTGTTTATCTTCAAGCTCGTTCCTCCTCGTACCGGCCTCACGCGAGCCGTCACCTTTACAAAGCCAACCGTTCACTATTTTGCCGTGGACAATGTGAAACAGGGCCGGCTGTGGATGGCAGCCTTGATGAAAGCCACCATTGAGCGTGATGACTCTGTTGACATAACATCAACTTATCAACAAAAGACAATCAGCCTCGCCAAAGCACAGGCCATGCGACAGCGCCCTCCAGCTCTGATGCCCGCTGAGGAGAAGGCTAGCGAACAAGAACATACGGCGGCGGCGGCGTCAGCCGAAGAAGGGCTCAAAATCCATGGTCTCCAACTGGACTCGCCCAAAGCAGATGAGATCAAGAAGGATGAGAATCAAGCCACGGTCAATGGCTCCACAGCTGCCAGCTTGAGCTCAGTCACCCATGAACCTGTTGACACAAAACCACCATCTGCTGCTGAGGTTGCAGATGGCAAATCGCGTTCCAGTGCCGAAGGTCAAACCCCATGATTACAGGGACAAAATTTCTCTCAACAAACCTCAATCTCTATATTTACTTCTTCACTACTCGACCGCGAAATTTTTCAGGTTTCTTTACTGATGCTTACGACTATGATACCGCTTATTATGAACGCTTGTACAGATGGCGCTTATTAGAGGGGCTCGTGTCTTTTTCTGCGGAAAGGTACTGTGAAGCCCCTCTCAAGCCAGCAGACTCCCTTTCACGTGTTATATTGTATTTGAAAGACATACTTTACGACGTATTTTACTATTATCACGAGCTCTTCGCGCTCATTCTCATGATTTTCAGACCTTATTGCACTCTGTTCATCGAACCCTGGACACATACCCCCTGCTATTTTTTTTTCCTAAAGATATTCTTGATTATCTTATACGATACATCTTTGTAATACTCCTGCTTCCTTTCTCCTGTATTTATTTGAGATGGTGTACTACTTATAGCTCACTTCTGTACCTATCCTGCCTTCCCTCTTGATGATAGAAAATAAGGCTCAGATGTCACCTTCTAGTCAAGCCTTTGCGCTTATTGCAATATTCTTCTCTTTCGCCTGAACTTTTTGGGTAATGCGTGGCCAGTTTCTATGCTTTGACGTCTTCGCAACTCTTGAAATGGTTGATGCCGCTGCAGCGCTCGGCGGACCTTGCTCCAATTCTCGCGCCAACCAAGATGCTCCGAATCAATCGCGAACTAGCGTGACAGCTCCATTACTCTCATCAAAAGCGCTTGTTTCTTCTGGAAAGAAATCGAAACCTGCAACTAAATCAAACAGTCGAGCCAGTCGCCGACCCAGTCAACTGTCAAGTTAGCTCACTACCTTTACGTATTTCACTGTACCCACTTGTTGAGTCAATTTTTTCCTTCAGTCCCACTTCCTTTGCAAAACCTAACAGCTCGTCTCCGGATTTCAAGAAGCACCGACCAAAGTCGTTTACAGGCCAGAACCTCTGACCAATCAAAGAATGTGTGCCAGGATCCAAACTTGTCGTGTTCACGCTCAGGTAGCCACTACTTGAGATCGAGTTCGGAAGGTGCGACGTAGCGCACGCAATTGTATAGTACTTGGTACTCCTTGAGGTGGAGTGCCACGTGATGGGCAGCTCCACTGCGGAAAGGGACGAAACTTTAGGAAAGAAAGCTACTCCGGTCACGCAAGTACCTCTTCCAGAATGGAATTTGTGTGCTAAGGATAAGTACCCGTTACCTTAGGTCAGAGAGAAGGAGCTACCTATCTCCAAGCAGATGCTCTTCCATAGTCCTTTGTCGAGGAGTGGACCGATTTCTGACAGAGCGCCCTTGAAGTTTTGACAACCTTGTGTTTCAGATTATGCCTGCATTTATCGTTTAGTTGGCAAGCACAAGTACAGAGCTGAGAATTTCGGAAAGCTCAACCATGTCCCAGCATGCAAGGGACACTGATTCGGGTCACTTATTGAAATTGTTTACAGACACGCTGAAAAATCCACCTGATCACAAGTACCGCTACACTGAGGTACACGATGTTTTGCAAATGAGCGACTGTACAGGTACCCTTCTACAGATGTACAACACGTCACACAGCTCCCCCAGTCAATTTCGGACAAGTAGCTTGACCATTTCCTCCATTTCAAAGAGAGGATTGATACTTCTGTACTCGTATTACAAAGTAATTCATTTGAGAATTCTCGGCTCTCGGCAGCCGGCAATCAACATGGCAAGTTTCATCGTCCTTGTTCCTTGCAGCAGCGTGCCTTGCTAGGATTTCTGATGGCTGTCAGCCTCTCGTTCTGACTTTCCTCACTATGGACACTGAAGAACGCTTTGGCCCTAGCATGGGACACAACTAGAGTACCAAGTATGGATGATCGCTGCGGCGCATCAGAGCCTTACTGGGCAACTCGTTTTGGTGCCCTACTTGCGTTCACGAGCAATCAGGTATCGATACTTGTGATTGAAGTACACACAGAAAAATTTGAGTGCAAGAATTGCATTTGATCGGTATTCCAGGTAACGCTACTTTGTTCATCTGTCAACGGGCACTTCTCCGGCCAGATTTCACGGCCCCCAAGGGACAAGCACCCGTCTCTTCTTGGCCAGTCTGTTTAGCTGTGTTTGTTCATCTCTTTCATCTCTTGTGGCCTTTTATCTTTCCATTTGGGTTTTGAGCTATCGACAAACTGTCCACAGTTGCCAATATAAATTCTGCCAATGGGGTCTCTTACATTCTCCATCGGATCATCATTCAGCTTTGAGGGAACCTGGTCTTTGTGCTCGCCCGATGAAGCGCTAAGGTGGCTGGCTTGCCTTGTTCCGGCTGTTAATGGCACGCCCTGGCTGCCGGTGTTGAACTAATACTTTAACCCCGGGGGCCTTTTGGGATCGTCATGTCCTATCTGGCCTGTCGGGATCTCTAAGTGCTCGGTGGCCTCCTTTTGTTCCCATTCAAGCTACCTAGCCCTGGTCAAGTCTTCGTCAGATTTGCCTCGCCAGGCGTCAGAGGCCTCGCTTCGACATCCTAAATTGGATATGGAAGCGAAAAGACGTCGCACTTGTAGGTCCAAGACGCTTTCTGGTCAGAAGAATTTGACCCTTTGTGAGTAAATGGGTTACGGTGTCCTAATGGAATAGATGATTTTTATAACTTGCAAAGTTGTCCTTTTTATACGCACGCTGTATTCTTCTCTATCAGGACCTGTTCTTACCTAGGTTTTCAGGGCTCGGATGGTCTGTCCTCTCGTTTTACTTTAGTACTGTAAAGCTACACCTAGGTTGGGCCACCACTCTCCACTGCACACCATTGACCACCCACCCACACTACGTTCTTTTTTGTCCACCCACACAACCCACATCAACCCACAACCCAATCGATCCCCTCGTCCGCCAACCTGGTCTCGCTGACTTTCCTACTTTTAGCATTCTTACTCCACCAGTCCTTCCCTCCCCTCCTCTTCCTTCTCTTCTTTTCCCACACGTTCGGTCATCTTTCGTCAAATTCATCCTTTCTGTGGATACTGTTGTGTTCCTTCGTGTCCCTTTTTCCTTTCCTTTTCCTCTCTCGTGCGGGTGTTCTTCTTGATTTCCTGCGTCTCATTTCCATCATCTCTGCCAGTTGCAGTCCTTTTCTCTGTGCGTTCCGCATTGAAAAAGTACTGTCACTCGTATACCTTTGATCTGGTACGTTCTTAAATCTCTTTAATTTTTCATGTTCTATATGATGCATCTTCCCCCTCATCAATTGGCATTTGCCTTTTCCCTATTTCCCTTGTCGACATCTGGCTGGAGAGCTTTATCATTGCGCCATCGACGAATACGAATTTGCAACATTTTCGGCTACCTCTCATGACGAGCATTCATTCTGCACCGGCGAAGCGACGCACCTGAGATGAACGCGTTCCGTGTCTAATACCGATGGATGGATGGACTACAAGCGGCGTCGACGATAAAAATCGGCAAAGGTCTCGCATACACCCCCCGATGGAGCTTCTTGTCTCCGGGTCATGGAAGATGCTGGGGTGGTAAAAGGATGGAATTGCACTCGGTCAAGAGCTTCTCAAGCTCCCTTTGCTTTCTCCTGGCCTTCCAAGCCGATCTCCATGACATGGCAGGGCAAAGCCCACTCTCCTGGCAGGGGGGTCCGAAATCCACGTGTCGCTTGTTCCACAAGTATAGATGATCGACGTTCACGTCGCTGACCATCTCGTGGGATGCAGATCTTCCCGTGATCTCGTTCCTTCCGCTTCAGTCCTTTCGATAAACCTCCATCTAACGTGCGGAGCGTCTCTCCTTCACGATATTCACGGAAAACATTTTGTAATTTCTCTCTTACGTGGTGTTATCTGGGGTATTCTCAAGTGCTTCACGACTCGGTGGCCTCCGTCACATTCATCCTTTTGGCGTCACATTTTACGATTACGCTTGACGGACCTCTCTTCTACGAATAGCTCGTACTTCTCCTTGTGCGATTCGGATTCGTAAGGTTCTCCCTTGGAACGAAAAATCGCAATTGGCTCTCCATTAATTCCAGCTTTTCGTCCCCTCGATCATCTTCATACGTCCTGCGTATCGTTCGTGTGAATGGTCCAAGTCCGCTAACCGAGTTTCATTTCTCTGGGGTGTACTAGGTTTGCTCAATTTTTTTCCAAACGACCTTCTCGTCATTTATACGCCGGTTCTTGCGTACTGCAATTGCCTTTTCCGTATATTTATAACGACTTCGCATCATCTCGTATTTTACAGTACTTTGATTTACAATGTCGTTCCCCAACTTTGAGGCTTTCCAGGGTCAGCCCGGCGCGGACGAGAACGCCGCTGCCGCTGCCGCTGCTGCCGGCGCCACCCCCCAGCAGCACACCCCCATGGGCCAGCAGGCCGATGATGGCGCCGCCTTCCAGGTCGGTGCTGCTGGTGAGGGCGCTGCCCCCGCCGGCTCTCAGCAGCCTGAGGGCAAGACCACCCTCTGGTACGTTGTCTGCTCTCTCCCACGCTGTTTGCGCCCGCATGATTTGGATGTCCAGTTTAATACCAAGCATCTGGATGCGCATTTTCCGAAGGTTTTATGCGTTGGCGTTTTCTGTGGCTAACTTGTTTCCTCTTTCCTCTTGAACAGGATGGGTGAGCTTGAGCCTTGGATCGATGAGAACTTTATCCGTAGCGTCTGGTTCGGTATGGGCGAGCAGGTCAACGTCAAGATGATCCGTGACAAGTTCTCCGGGTACGTTTACCTTAGATTTTCTGTCAGTTGGGTTTAATAAAGGGCAAATGCTTATGTGATTTTGACAGAAGTAATGCTGGCTACTGCTTTGTCGACTTCTCCAGCCCTGCTGCCGCTGCCAAGGCCCTCGGCCTGAATGGCTCTATTATCCCCAACACCAACCGCCCCTTCAAGCTTAACTGGGCTTCTGGTGGTGGTCTCGCTGATCGCAGGTAGGATGTCTCAACCAAATTGAATTAGAATGTCTTGCTAACATCTAGCTAAGCCGTGATGACCGTGGTCCCGAGTTCTCCATCTTCGTTGGTGACCTCGGCCCTGAGGTCAACGAGTATGTTCTGGTCTCCCTCTTCCAGAGCCGTTTCCCTTCGTGCAAGTCTGCCAAGATCATGACCGACCCTATCTCTGGCATGTCCCGCGGCTACGGTTTCGTTCGTTTCTCCGATGAGGGCGATCAGCAGCGTGCTTTGACCGAGATGCAGGGCGTCTACTGCGGTAACCGCCCCATGCGCATCTCTACCGCCACCCCCAAGAACAAGGGTGGTGCTGCGGCTCACGCCGCAATGGGTGGCATGCCCGGTGCTGGCGGCCCTCTTGGCATGTACTCCATGGGTGCCCCCCCCATGGGCTACTACGGCGCTCCCCAGCCCATGAACCAGTTCACCGACCCCAACAACACTACCGTCTTTGTCGGCGGTCTCTCTGGCTATGTTACCGAGGATGAGCTTCGCTCTTTCTTCCAGGGCTTTGGCGAGATCACCTACGTCAAGATTCCCCCTGGCAAGGGCTGCGGTTTTGTTCAGTTTGTCCAGCGTCACGCGGCTGAGATGGCTATCAACCAGATGCAGGGCTATCCCATTGGCAACTCCCGCGTCCGGTTGAGCTGGGGTCGTAGCCAGAACAACTCTGGCCCTGCTGGCACTCCCTACCGCCCGGCTCCCCCGCCGCCGGTCTATCCCTCAATGGGCATGCCTCCTTCGCACCCCTACGGCAACTTCGCTCCCCTCAAGGTGAGTGGGAATCGTACCCCCCTCTGGCGTGAGTCACTAACGGGTGTTGACAATAGTAAGCATTTTTCACCCTTTTGAAAGTCTCGCAGGCAGGAGTTTGTACGTTCAGTCAAGCATTGAAGGCTGTTTTCCTTGAACACTTTCTTCCCCTACCCACCTCTTAAGTTGGCCACGGCAGCAACGTGTGTTTTCCTCATCTTATTACTTTGGTGTTTTCCCACAAATTTCTTCTTTCACATCTCAAGTACCTCAGACCTACCTTGCCAACTTACTTGATGGGTTCTTCTCACGTCACTCTCACAACTTTGCGTTTCTTTCTGCTAAAAAGTCTGTCAAATCGGTGCAAATTTACAAGTCCTACAATTGTTCGGTCAAAGTCTAAATTGATGGGCGGGAGTTATTCTCTTCTCTTTTCCTTATTGCCAATTACTTTGAAAAGTTTCCTGCTCTCTCTTTCTCTCTGATTGAAGACGCTCTGATTACCGTTGCCGTTTACGTTTCCCAACCCTTGTCAAACCCGGTGCTTAATATTTGCCCGTCCGTTGCCTCCCTTATTGCTCCTCCCCTTTTCGTCACTGTGCTTTCGAAGACTGGAAAATGAAGGATTTGTATCGAGTCCCCGGGGAGTTTGTCTCAAGGCTGATTTTCTTGCTTCTTGGTCACTCATATATCTCACTTGCAATTTTGCAAATGCGGGCTTCACACTTTTTTCCTTAAAACTTTAGAAGGGATCGTATAATAGAGCGTCTTTATTAGAGACGACTTGACGTTTCAGTTAACTTTCCAGATTTATCACCAATTGGTTTCCGTCTGTTCTCTTTGACATGCCAAGGTGTTTGCCTTTCGTTTCTCACGGTGTCCGTTTTTGCCGAATTTACGTACTGAAAGCCTGCAAATATCCATGTTCCTCTCTTTCTTTGCTTGGGTCTCCTGTCCTTAAGAGCTGACGGGATATGATTGTACCGGTTGACCTATTTTGCAACACGGCGCCAATGACTTTTGAACCAGCTGTTGTGCCATGTACTTCTAGCTGCCAGTTTCATCATTGATCTTCTCGTCCATGGTTTGCTCCTTTTGTTATTGGCTTGGCGTGGTTCATGGCGTTATTAGGAAGCCGTGGTTAACAGTCCTTTATGATTGTACTCGTGCGACGTGATGTGCAGGGCAAAAAAGGAGCACTCGCTGCTATGGCGCTGGCAAGTGATGTAATTCATCATGTGGTTCTCCTTATGCTTTTTCATTTTCGCGGCCATCGATTGCGCGTTTTTATATATCTGGTTATGCTCGGCCATTTTGTTTCGCCTTTCGCTCGTGTCTCTTTCCACAACACCTGTAGGGTTGCGCCGAAGTCATGTTTCGCTATTGCAGGGTTCCTTTTTCGGAATTCATCCTCACGCTCTTGTACCGAGGGGCTGCTTGTCGTGTATCTGAAATGAATTACGTTTTGCGAGAGATGCGGTTGGTAGTCAGCGCTTGAAGACGTTTCACTTGTTCTCTAATTGTTAGTTTCTGATCTTGTCAGAGAAGCTGGTGCAATTATCTATAGCGTGCGCCTCTTTCATCTCAAACACATCGCTCAGGAGCACTTGCTTATTTCAAGAGTATCTGTCGTCAGGAGCTTTGGACATTTCTGCATTATCTGTTAACGAATTAGGAAAACCGCGTTTTTGGACCCGCTCCTAATCTTTTCTTTGTGTTTGGAAAGAATGATGGACGGTCACAGCATGTTTCCTTCTCCTTCCGGAGCAGATGCATTACAAATCTACTAGCAAGTGTGAGCCAACATCTGGGTATCTAAACAACTCATTGACATTATACATCGGCGAAGAAAACAAACGTCGAATTCAACTGGCTTAATTGCTCACCACTTTGGCTTGATTCGCATTTACTGGCTTTTGCTTGTGGATAAACCTTCGTTGCATTTAAATCTATTATATTTCGTGTTACTGTGTTTATTGGTTGTGTATATTTATCAAACGACGACTGTGGCTAGGCAGCAGAGGCAGAAGACCTAATCTGCGGACTCTCAAACGTCATCAGGACAAGGAAATCTTTGGCGTACGACCATGCTCAAACGACTATTCGGATAGGGCCATTACATCGCATCACCCTCATTTCACAATGAGGTATAAAAGCTGGGACGTCCTGCTTTTCCCAGCAGGGAGCAAGGCCCCTTTACAAGAGTTTCGAACTGCATGTCATGCGATCAGAGATCCCGGTATGCGCTCCTCAACTGCCTTTTATATCTCATCAAGTGCTGCACGGTTTCGACCAACATTTAATTACGCGTATAGGATATTCTTCCCCCTTTCCGTTCTTTATCGACCCTACACAACCTCTCGGTCATTTTACTGCGTCTATATTGCCTGTTGTGCTACGAATAGGAACTGCATCTGCTAATTCTGTCCCAATAGAAGTAGTCCCTACGTTCAGCGGAGTCAGAAATATTCCGTTTCCCCTCGCCGACATTATTCCACATCAGCTTCCTGTGCTTACAACTTTTACTCCGAGTCTGATTGTTGGCACGCCTTTTCAGATATCTATTCATTGCTGGGAGACGCCTCATCCGTCATCTCGAGCGGAGGCATTGAAAGAGAAAGGAAGGGAGGTTCGCTTTCACGCCCGCGTTTTTATTGATGGGCACTTCACATCGTACGTTGAGAGGAAGGATTATTGATGACAAGAATAATTGACAATTCTTTAGATACCTCACATTTCCTCAGCAGGGTCCATGGCCACAAATCATTAGTAAGTTTCTGCAGCAATTTGATGATATCAATCACTCATTGACCGGCTTTTTCAGATACTACGTGTGGTAAGCTCCCGTTGACAAGCAAAAGCCAACGCACACCTCGCTCACCAAATATATTCTTACAGCATCTGCTGAGGTTGACAAAAAGGGCGCACGTCAGCCTTTAATATTCCCGCAATATCGCTCGGAATACTTGACCAACCTTGTCTGGTCTGCCGAGCAATCACTCGGGCGGATCATAGTGTTGATTAGTGATGGTGCCATGCACGCGCAGCGCAATCCGCCTTTTGAGCAGGCGATAAACATCGTTCAATTTTCGTTTCAACATGTTCCTCTTGGTAGGTTGAAGTCTGATTCTCACTTTTTATCTGGTCCTACCACTGACTTGCATCACGCATAGACATCCTCGAGTCAACAAGTATTGCGTGGCCGAATCCAAAAATGTGGCTGCAGCTTCCGATGGCAAAGAGCAGCCAACAGCCTAAGTTTTCGCTCCGCCAACCACTAGCTCCGCTTCCTCTTCCTGTTGCTGAACCTCATACTCATTCTCCTCGTGGTCGGGACAGCAGTAGGGAAACTTTGCAAAGAAACGGAGAGAGCAACCCAAACTGGCAATTTGTTTATCCTATGATGCCTCCGGCTTCAGATTCAGTTGCAGCTTTCCGCGGAAATACAGGCAGCGAAATTCATGCTCGACAATCTCAATATACTGGACATGCAAGGCACCCCAACTTGGCCGAATGCCCACCATGGTATATGGCTTCACAAGCAAATATTGATAGTCAGGGAGTTTATGAGCGCATGCGAGGACTCAGCCAATCTATTCATGCACATATGTATGCTCAGGCTGAGGCTACAGCTGCTGATGATTCTAGAGCGGCATATCCATGGACACGCACACAACTCCAACCGGAAGACATTGCCATGCCGGATTACCCATCGTCATCTATTACGCCTATGAGCAGTCGCAATCAATCAGGAGACGTCATTATGCGAAGCAAATCACCAAGTGTGATTGCAAATACATGTGACGAGGAGTATGGTCAATTGATTGATCTGTTGAGCAATCAGAGACGTGGTGGACGGCCGGTCAGTCAGCCAGCACCACAGGGCCAAATGGGCCGGTCAGAAAGTGTGTCCGCGCGAACTGAATTATCTCTGCAAAATCCGGAAAAGGGGGCGAATCGAGACTGTCAAGAAAGGCAGGGCCTAGAAAATCAACGTCCTCGTCGTTCCAGCTCTCAGCAGCGCAGAAATACAATGCCTGCTTCGTACTTTATCGCTCGTCCTACACGGCCCTCTGCGGCGGCTGAAGCGCGACTCGCATCATATCATAGATATCACCAGGCGCAATCAGATCAATCGATTCGCCAAATCCGTCCGTCTGAAACACATATGCAGGCACGGAAAGTGTCCATGATTGAAGCAACTCCGTTGGCTGGCGTGGTTCGTCAAGATATCCAGCAAGACCAAGACGTCGCGGCGAAGAAGCCTGCGAGAGATGGGTCCGATGTAACGATGCGCTCGCAGTTTTCTGAATTTTCTACACGCGATGATGAGGGGACGACCAATATTGTTGGTGCAACTGCAAAAATTGATTCTAAAGCGAACGATCCCGATGATAATACTCGTGTGGCGCCGGTGGTCAATATGTCTGGCGATCCGCACCTCGTGCCCATTGCTCTTGTACGAGCGAATAAACCTTCACCGGATATCAAGAGTAAAAAAGAAGGGAAACGGGCCAGAGGCAGGCCGAGAAAGAGCGAAGGTGTAACCGTTTCTAATACTGCCGCGACTGCTTCCAGTGAATCTGTTCAGGATCCAGTCGTTGCGGAGAACAGGGAGACTTCAACTTCGTCGGAGAGTATCATTTGCATGGGATTGAGTCGGGCCAGGCTCCACTCGGGGAATGTGGCTGAAAAAGTCCAGCAGCAGCGACGACAAGACACTGTTGCCATGCCGCGCGTTCCAACATTCAAGACCACTTATACCGCTGCCAAGCGCAAGCGCTCTCAAGATTCAGGGATCATGGGCACTGTCCACGATACACCCGGCTCAGGTCCACGTCCAGATTCGAATACACATTGGCAATCGTCTGACGCGCGCACTCATCGACGTCTGGGTGGTGATAATAATGATGATGATTACGACTTTGGTGGTGGCAGTAGCGCCGGCGGCGGAGTCAGTCTAAGTCAAAGAAGTGCGCGTGGTCTGTTGGAGCCTCTGCTATCAACTGCTGGTTTGGCGAGATCTGGCACCGGGCATACTGGGAATGTTGGGTATGACAATCACAGTGAGAATGGCAGGGGGGTCGATCGTACTGGAGATGGTCGAAACGTCTCACTGGACGAGATTGGTGCTGGGACTAAGCCTCCGAGTTTGACAAATTTGGAAAGTGGCAATGGTCTCAAGAGTCCGATAATTCTCAGGAGTCCCAAGAGTGCAAAGGGTTCACCAAGTCCCAGGAGTCACAAGAAGAGAATGATTACAAGTCTTGGCGGGAACGGTTTCAAGGGCGCAGATGTCGGCGAAGAATCTACGAATCTCAACGACTCGGCCGCAGCCAGAAAGAAGAGCGTCAGTGTCACTAGGGCGGTTTCGGAGAATATTGATACCTCGAGACGCCATTGCGATGCTACTGCTGGTGCACAGGCCAGAAAAGAGGCCAATGGTTCGCCGAAATCCCCAAAGAGAGACTCCCCTGCACGTGCGCAGCAACAGCAGAGGGACAGAGTGCTGAGTTGTCGAGCTGAGAATGCGCAGTGACTGTATTCTCTTATCTCTTTTACTCTTACTTCTGTTATTCCCGCCTTATCCTTGTTGACGCTCTCCTCTACTTCCCTTTTTCTCTTCTTCTTTATCATTTTTTTGAACTCTGTCCTTTTTTTTCCCACCCTTTCCCTTTCGTTCATCTCTTTCTTTTTCCTCTTTTATATCATAAGCTTTCTGTCTTGGCCAGTGTGTCAACGGCAGGCTTAATTTTACAATATCCCTGATAGAGCTACAAGCCGGGTTAGACAAGGGTGGGACATTGGCGTGTATGTTTAATTCATGGACTACGCTTCACAGCGGGAAAACCGGTGGCTGAAGCGTTCGTATTACGCCATAGAGGATAGAGGATAGTACAATACACTTCATTTAAGGCCCAATTAAGAACATTAAGATCTATCAGCATGAGTTAATTGTCTCTCGGTCGATTGTCTCTATAACCTGGTTATAGAGAGCAGCCAAGTTATGACTCGGCAATGGCCATAATTCGGGTAAACTATGGAGTTCGCTTCTGGCTATAGTACAGGTATAGCTTAGCGGTATCCTGTTATCTACCTGCTAGAATACGACGGAGCGCGCACCGAGCACTTGTACGATAGTATAGGATCAGAAATACTATTGAGGGCTGCAACATTTCCCCAATCTTGCCTTTGATCTCACACCGCCCATCTTCCGTTGCATGCTGCTGCCTTGTCGCCTCGTTGCCTTGCGGCTCTGGCTGCAGCGGCGGAAACGCCGCCTTCTTCCTTCTCCAAGCACGCACACGCGGGGGAGACACTCACACCAGTTATGCACCGGTAGTGAGGCGGAACACTAATTCGCCTGCTGCCAAACGCTCGAACCTTTTCTCTTCCCTGCGCCCAACCGACGCGGCTACAAATGGTTGGTCAACAAACGATTGACCTGTCGAGTATCAGGCATCAACCTTTCCAAACCTGACAGGAGAGACACAAGGCTGAGAAATCGACCGCTGCGAGACGTGCTGTTCTCGCAGTGAGGCTATCAGGCTACGAGTGAGAAATTGTTGAATTTAGAAAAATTAAGGTTTACTTCCCCCTGTCGAAAAGAAAGAGAGAAATAAAAAGAACAAGAACAACTGACACTCTTGCGGCACAGATACGGGACGACTGGCAGTGCCCGCAGCTCAGCCTTCTGTACCGTGCTGCTGTGCAGTTGACATGATCACTTTGAAGGTGCATTGGAATGCATTTCAATGCAGCAAAGTCCCAAATCTTGAGAATTGATTGGTCATGACTCCGCCATTGTAGTCGTAATCACCTTCAGCCATCAGCATCATATAGCGTCAAGAAGCTCAAGAAAGGACGGGAAAGCTTTGAGCGAACTCAACGGTCTGATTCATCTGTGTCTTAGCTGCCCGAATTTGTTGAATATCTGTGGGCAATGGCAGACCTCCTTGAGCATTTGATTGTCCCGGGGCAGTGCGGGGTTCAAGGGTATAAGAATGGGATTGAACCTCTGCTTGAATTACAGCATCAGCATCAGCATTCTCATCAAACTTTAGACTCAAGTTCAAGCCAGAGCAACATGAAACAGCGCAGAGAAAGTGTCAATTACCGACCTACCACTTCTCGATCTTCATCAGACTCTGAAGGTGTGTCGCTCAAGTCGTCACCTTCGCAGAAAGATATTATATTCTTCTCTCCACCGCCGCAGCAACAGCATCACCAAACGAGATCAAATATGGCGTCTTCATTTCTCATCCCTTCTTCCTTGGGAAACCCAGTCGATCAATATCTTTCCTCAACTGTGGCTGCAAGCAACTGGCCAGGCAATAGGACTGGTCTTTTGAGCCCGCGCCATGCGAATTATTCTCAGAGCACGCCCAGTGGGGCGTGGTCGAATGAAAAAGAGGTTCTCTCTGACCAATCTATTCAAGCGGTGACAGCCACGGGTCCCAACAAAGTAAGCGTACTGTACAACATGTGCCAGGAGAGGGGTGTCGTTCCCGGCCTTACCTGTAACGATGTCCAAGGTCATTTCGTCGCCATTCTGAAACTCGGCGATCAAACGTTCCAGGGTGCTTTTCCGCGTCCAAACAAAAAGGCAGCCAGGCAAGATGTAGCTGCCATGGGAATAGACGCTTTACGGGCTATGCCCCTTGTGACGGGGCAAGCATATAAACAACAGCGGCAGGTGCAAAGGCAGCAATTACAGCATCAACAACCCACGCTTACTGATACCAACAGCGGTCCTGGCGAAATCCAGAATTGGATTGGCAAATTGGGAGGTCAGTCTGCATTGAATTTTATTACTGCTTTTGGTTAATGTTTTCCCTCATTGTCTTCTCTCACATCTTCTCCCGTTCTCTTCAATAAGCCACTCTCTTTTTCCACCCCATCATGCCAGCATATTACACACTCACAATAGTTTCATCGATTTCATATCGAACCTTCAAGCCATGGCTTGTGCTGCCTGTTACACCGAGTTAAGCTAACGGTCTCCTACACTATATAGAATACTGCGCGGCAGAAAATATCCCGGAACCACATGACAACCCAATCGAAGGCGGTCCGCGGGGATATGCGCACCAGGTCTTCATTACCGACAAGGACAGCAACAGCGGAACTGACGAGCAAAGTAAGAGTCGGACTCTCCAATTCGGGAAAGCGGACAATTTCTTCCCAAGCAAGCAAGCAGCCAAGGCAAATGCCGCGCATGAAGCTGTCGAATGGCTCATTGCCAATGGTCGTATGGACCAGTCGGGAGTCAGTATGAAGAAGGCCATGAAACGGTCAGGTGCTGTATCACCACCAGGCACTGCCTCAGCCACGAATGGACTGGCACCGCAGCATATTTCGCCCGCGCAGAGAATTAATGGTACGTTGTCTCTTTGACACTTTCCTTTCTGTTTTTCCCCTTTCTTTCCAACCTTTCCAACCCTTTTTTCTTTTGTATATTCACCACTAAAAATTTCGCTTCTTTTCCTTGTGTTCCATTTAGACCCCAAGACTCCATACACAAGACCGTACAATACTCCGCTGTACGAACTTGACTCTGATCCCATGGAGAAACAGACCTCTGCCACACTCTCGGCCTCGGAAACTTTGAATACCGCCTCGAGGCGCCCTCTCATTCTCCAGCAAATTTCTCGGGCGGTGCAGTCTTTGCGCAGAATCCGTACGTCTCGCTCGTCTCCTTGCGGCTGTCGCCATCTTCTTCGTCGTCTCAGACCCTATCAGGGGACACGCGAAATCGTAACGCTGCCCAAGTGGTCCGTCGACAAGGAAATGAGCTAGTGCTTGGTTATGTAGAAAACGTGTTTGGACGGAAAAACGCCAAAGATGAATGCGCACGCAAAGTCCTCCTGATTTTGGAAGAGGAGTTGCGTGTTAGGAAGGAGCGTTGTGGGTGGAATTGAGTTTCGGTTTGTGGCTTATATTTTTACGCTTTATATTTATTGCAAGTTTCTCTTTATTTAGATTCTTTTTGTTGTCTTATTCTCCTATTTTTTTTTTTTTTTTGCTTTTCTTATTCTTTTATTTTTTGCGTATTATTTGTACCTTTATTTAATTTGATTTTATCTTTGTTTCATTTATCTTTTCACTTCAGGCATCATTGTCATTTATCTCCTTTTTTCCCATCTTCACATCTTTTTAGATGAATGTCTTCTATCTCATCATGTATCTACAATGCATACCTAAGCCTTACATGTCCAAGAACACATCTAGTTGTACAGTCATTGCTTCGTGTCGTGACTCGAGGGGGTTTCTTATCAGTATGAATACTGATATTTACATTGAGTTTTTCTGCATTTACATTGGGTCGTTGCCTGTTGCCTGTTGCCTGTCGTCTGTCGTCTGTCGTCTGTCGTCTGTCTTCTGTCTTCTGTCTTCTGTCTTCTGTTGCCTGCCGTGTGATATACCATGACTCTTGCATGCATGCATATATACCATATACAATATACCTTGGTCCTTGGTCCATGGTCCTTGTTTATAAACCACAGCTGCAGCTACATAATGTATATATGTATGCTCGACATGAAAATTTATGATTTATGATTTACAAACCACAAAATACAAGCAATCAATTTAATTCATTTACTCAACTGCCATAATGCTATATGCACACTGTGGATCTGTGAATCTGTGAATCTGTGAATCTGTGATCAATCAAACATTAACATTGAACATTGGACATTGAACATTGAACATTGAAAATCAAATATTGAGCCAGGCTTGCTAAGTTGCTAAGTTGCTGGGTTTCTCTGTTACAGATTGTCTTGTTGCAGATCAAGGTTCTGTGATGAGTCAGATGACATGACACATGTATTCGTGAGTCGTGATGTATTGAAAATTCGAAATACATATACATATACATATAGGTATACATATAGTACCATTTGAAAGAATTATGGTCTGTAGAAACCTGGGGGGTTTGGTGTGGGTGGCGGGTTGGGGGAAGGGCTAAGGGCTAAGGGTAAGGGGTAAGGGTAAGGGGAAGAAAGATGATTATGCAAAAGGACGGTCATATGCCGGCGGTGGCGAAGAAGACGATGACGATGAAGAGGGCAATAGGGCAGAAGAGGAAGAAGAGGGCACGATGAGCGTAAGGCGCGGTGGATGTGCGGTCGGTGGGATGGATGGACCAGGGTTTGTGGAAAGTGCGGCTGCGGCGGGTACTGCGACAGGAGTGGGAGCGGGGACAGGGACGGGGACGGGTGCAGGTGAAGAAGTAGGTGCAGAATGAGAAAAAGGAGGACTAGGCGTTTGGCTGGGAGTAGTAGTACTAATAGTAATAGTAGTACTAGGACCAATTGGGGAATGAGGATGTGGCTGCGGATGTGACGAGGAGGAAGAGGATGATGGAGACTGCTGGACACCAGACAAATCGCCCACGGAGACAGTTGTCAAGACTGCAGATCGAGACGCTTCTACTGACACCGTGGAAGCCATGGCGGGCATGGGCGGCGGGGGCGGAGGTGAACAGACGTCAAAATAAGCCGGGGATGGAGGAAGTGATAATGTATCGGAGGCAGTCAAGCTTGTTCGCGTGTGACGCCGCGACTGGCCTGGATGGTGTGATAATGGGGTATTTGGCGACAAAGACGATGATGCGGATGAAGAGGATGAAGATGACGACGAAGTTGAAGAAGAGGATGGACTACGCTGGTGACATTGTAGGCAAGGTGTATCGCGTGAGATTTGTGTCTCCGAATGATTATCACCATTACAGTGACAGCTTGCGCGCTGCCAGAAGAGGAGATTTGGGTCGACGCGCTGGGTGAACGGAATGTTAGCATGTACTAGCGACATGAGGTCTTTGGAACGAGGAGAAATATAAAGAAAACGGGGGCGGCATACAACGCTATCCCTCCATAGTCCATATGCTGGCGGGGGAGGACGAATGACTGCTTTCTTCTCAACATTGCCATATCGACCAATTACCATATCCTCCTCAACATGCTCTTCTCTCATCTCATCTTCGTCGAGATGTGCCAGCTCTTCGTCTCGCGCGAGAATCACCCGGATAGGACGAACAGGGTATGCCAAGCGGTGTTGTAGCCCTTGAGGCATGTCCCCGGAGGAAGGCGGGGGGGCGAATGCAAAAGAGTAGAGAAACGGCGGCTGATGCTGAGTGACACGTTCACGGTCCCGTTCGGCGCATAGCTGGGATTCCGGTAAGGGCTGCCCTCCGAGAGGATATGCCGCGAGGCAGAGCCGGATGAGCAGATAGATGAAGACGATTGTAAGGACGACGATTAGGATGAGAAAGACAATGGTAAACGCGTCGCTGGTTATTTCGTGGCTGGTGACGAGCGCGAGATCTGTCATTGTCAGTGGATTGAGATATGGTGAGGCGCCCTAGGGAGCGTATAAATCCATGTAGATAAATAATATACGTACAGATTGTGAGCAAAATGGCGAGTGCTGATCCGGAAATAATGCACATAACAGCGTTATTTTTGACTAGTTTGCTACCCTTGGGTGTGGAGGAGCAGCAATACCGCCATATCTTGCGATCGGTCGTAGGGGTTGCTCTATTTTGGGACAGCACCTCTGTCTGATGCGGGGTATAATATCCATAGTGTTCGGTACTCTGGATTTGACTAGAGTCTGTTATCGTTCGATGATGCCGCACGCCAACAAAGCTACGAGGCGAGATCGATTGCGTTGCGTCTGGTGTGGTTGGGGAGTTGAAGATTCTATTGTAATCCGCAGGAGTAATATGGCGGCTGCTGCACGGCGAGGGGAGAAAACCCCTATCTGATGAGTTCGTCGCTGGGGTATGAGGAGAGGGAGAAGTTGATAAAAGGGAGGGGTTTGCAGATTGAGGATTTAGAATGAGTGGAATGTCGCTGACGGTAGAATCTGGACGTGAGCGAACTCGTCCCGAGGTCGGATCAGGATCAATGGACAATGACGGGTGATGTCTCATGGTGTATCTGTTCTGTCAAAGCAAAGAAAGTGGCTGTAGATTTCCCGATTATCATCTGTTGTCGTATTTTTCTGAAATCAGAGCTAACAAGATAGGTGTTGCTCCTACACTTCTGCTTGACAAGCTGAAGACGACAAGAAGCAAACGAAGAGGAAAGCAAGGACGATAAACACAGACCATGGACTTTTGTATTGACGTTGCCAACAGCCTCTGCTTTGACGCAGTAAAAGGTCAAGGTTAAAGAAAGGATGCGGCGATACGATTGTAAATAAAGTATTGCTTGGAATGAACAACCTTAAAAGAGTCGCTCACAATTATTCACGTCAGATCCAGAGAAAAGATAAATATGGAAAAATAACAAGCACCAATTGAAAAGGCATTTAAAACATCTTAGGTGCAAGTTCAATGCATGTTCAAAATAAATGGCGTAGACCCGGCCAATGAATGGGTCGAGTTTTCTGACATCTGTAAAGCATGCGAAACACGTTGCGTTGGACAAAACAGAAAATGCTTAGGGGATGCAAAAGAGTTGTATTTATTATGAAACGTAAAAACAGAGCAAAGATGGTAATGAAACCAAACAGCTGCAGGACGGAAAAGCATCAAAGAGTTTGACAAAGCACAAGGGCTTTGCAAGGGAGAGAAACGAAACAAGGACTTCGACATTGAAAAGAAGAACAAAAATACCACAGCGCTTTGTGCTGGCGAATTGCTACACTGCCGCAAGCTTGATGATCTGGTGGCTTTGTAGTAGAGAATGGTAGTGCATGTTGGAAGTAGAACAAGGTCGGTTAACTTTGTTTAGGCGCTTGGAAGAGCTCATAATTGAATGCTTGTGATGAAGTTATATTGGGAATCTTCAATGAGCAATCTGAGACTCGTGGTTCCAAAAGTCGTGATGGACAAGGTCAAGGAGAAATAGCCGCCGGCGTTAAACCGGTCTTCAGCCCGGGGCCAGTAATTGGCTGGGGAAATGGAGCGGTAAACATGGCTGAGGAAACGCCACCAGTTGCATGTACTGAAACGTGTCTCACCAATTCCTATGCCATAACTCCCCTGCGTTTCAAATCTGACAGGCTGCTTACAGGATAAAATAATTCGAGAGAGTGGCGTTTGATCAACAGATGTTGTCGTCGCTGCGGTTATATCGAGTACAGATTATAGTGGTGCCGAGAAGGGAATAGCGTCACCCCATGCAGACGCGGGTAGTCTAAACCCGATTTGGATCTTAGTTTTTCTCCCTCAGAAAAAAAGTTGATTCTCTGTGTTCGCTGACGTTATTTTTGCGCTGAATTTCTTCCCCGGATGTCCCATCGCCATAGCTTCATTCGCACCCCGGAACAGATCGGCTGAATTCAGCATCTACGTGCAGCCGGGAAATTCACAGTTCGGTATTTTCTGCCAAGAATTCCAGCACATACATCATGTCCGACGTCGAGGAATCTTCGGTTTCCAGCGCTCAAAACATAGCGCCAGCTCTGCCTGAATCCAACAAAAGAAAACGGGACGAGACCGTTGAGGCCGCTGTAGAGGAAAAGACTTCAAAACGGTCCAAGAAGAGAAAGAATAAAAAGGCAACATCTGAGGGTTTTGCGGACGCGGACCTGGACACCGAGAATGGGGTCAATGCGGCATTAGGGAAAATGGACGGTTCTCTGTTGGCGGATTACGTTGCGCAAAGGACGAAACGCTTCGAAGGGGAATTGAGCCTAGTGGAGCTCGAGGACAGGCGCCTTCCAGGTTGGTCTCTCTCAATTTCCGATCTACATAATCCTCAGGCATGTTCGCGGACCGATTGCTTATATCACCCTGAATTATAGAGAAGGCAATACGCGATACGACGTCGTGGGAGAAGCCACGAACGACGGCAACCCTTCCCGACTTTTTAGAACATTATGCCGCGCAATTTGGTCGCATCAAGCCCCTTTCCAAAGCTCCCAAAGAAAAGGGTAGCCCTCATACTCTTGTCGTCACCGGCGCTGGTCTGCGCGCTGCCGACTTGACGAGGTTGGTCTCCACCTGTGCCCAAGGGTAATCTGGTTATGAAAACCTCACGAGTAATATAGGGTTTTACGAAAGTTTCAGACAAAGGAAGCCACAATTGGGAAGCTCTTTGCCAAACATATTAAGCTCAAGGAAGCTGTCAAGTTTGTAAAGCAGGCAAGGCAAGTCAACCGCTATGCCCCCCACGGATTTACAACAACGTTATCGCCGCTAACATTTAATGTTAACATTAGAATCGGCATTGCTGTAGGCACTCCGGCACGATTAATAGATCTTATCGATGAAGGTAATTCTCAATGATCGCCCGGTAGTGTTACAAACTCACACTGACTTTTTTTTTGGCGATTTAGGCGCTCTTTCCATGGACAAGCTAGAAAGGATTGTGATTGATTCCTCTCACATTGATCAAAAGAAGAGAGGCATTTTGGACATGAAGGATACTCAGATTCCTCTGCTGAAATTTTTGAATCGGCCGGAAGTCAAAAGCAGATACGGGGCTACAGAAGGTGGTGTAGAATTGTTGTTTTACTAAAACCGCCAGTGCTATCCTCCCTCGCTCGCTCGCTCGCTCTCTCTCTCTCTCTCTCTCTCTGTCTGTCTGTCTGTGTGGATGGCGAAGCTATTCAATGCAGACTATGATTCCATATTATTCTCGAGCGCTACATAGGACTCAAGGTCTATACCCACAGTAAAGCATTATCAAATAGTACAAAAAGTTTTCTAATTTTGCGTTAATTTGTTCTCCTTTAGCGATAAATCAAAACAATCCATACCATCGACCAACGTGATGATACCAATTTTCCAACAAAGTTCACAATCAAAACCTATTAATAGCGTTAGCTACCCTAAAAATACGTTCATCTGGAACCCAGTATATTTTTTGTAAACTTTGCAACAATGTGATGATGACATCCGGTTGACGGCTCCAAGAGTATCCCGCACACCCATCCTTTTTTTGCCGGAGCTGGCCGTGCAATTATCGACTCGCCCTTGACTATCTCTATGGCTGCATCCAATTGGACGGATCTTCAATAACACGTTTATATTCCAGGCGATGACGATCTGCATTGATGCGATGGAGTTTTGTGAGTGTTTCCGCCCCTTTGCGGAGAATTTGGATATGGGCGGAGAGAGAAAGTGCAGAAGATGGCGACGGGCGCGCCGAAGCGTCAATGAGTCGAGAATCGTCGATATTCTCGGACAGGTGTTTTAGCGCGGCCGCCATGGTTCTCAGCGTGAGCGTTGAGTTGCCGACATGGGAGCGGGTCGCTCTACGATGCTTGTCAAACTCGGTGAGATGGCTGAGCTTTTCCTTGTCCTCGGCGCTGAGTCCGGTCCAGATACCGCCCTCCTCACGGCGACCCCAGGTGCAGAGGATGCTCCACATTATCGACAGGTTCTCCGCGCTATATGTGCGGTCCCCCGCATCTGCGGGAAGCAACCTCTTATGTAGTTCATTTAGAAGGTAATCCAAGGAATCAAGACCGTTGAGGATATATTCGCCGCTACTTATTATTTTCTCCAACCTGTCTAGGACAAATCGCTTGTGGTAAGTGAACGCGTTAGTCATTTCTCTCATCCGATACGTCCATAGATCTATATATCCAGGAACAAGCCATTGCATAGAGCGCGAAAGGGCGCCAGGGGGCTCTATAAAATCCTTTTCAGCCATCCATTCAAGTCTGCGTATGGTACTATTTGTCTGTATCGCTATGAGATCAAGCAGCCCACGAAGACGCGAATTGAACAGCAAGACTGTGTCAACTGTCTCGTGTGTTTTGCCAATGAATGCTTCAAGAATGTCGAGCAATTCACCCCTGGGACGCGAAAGCGTCATGTCAGCTGAAAACCATTAATCCAACATATTTCGCCTTCTCTGAACACATGTGTGATCAAAGCACTGATTTGAAAGCTGCATGCGCAATGGATTTTAAAGGGTGACAGGCATTGTGAAAAAGCCACAAATAGAGATTGACAAGCTCAAGAGACTGAATAGGAAAGGCGCAAGATAGGTAAAGTTCGACATAATAAATCTTACCGGTTCTTGAATGAGCTGACCCGCACTCGGGTACGTAGTTGACGGACTCTCATCTCCCCCTGAATTAAATATTGAGACAGAGGCATATGTTGGATACCAGCGTGAAGGAGTCCTTCGATTGGAGATTCAATCGTGATGAGTTGACCAAAGTCGACAGGCGGAGGTACAGAGCCCAATTTGAGTTTCTCCAAGACTGGCAACGGAGACGACGATTTGCAAATCGAGAGATTGAAGAGGCTTGCGCCAGGTATGAGGCACAGCGGTGAGAGGGATGCGTGAACAGATTTTGCTACCGTGTTGGTCACAGCCCCAATGATTTGGTAAACGATGAAGACAGTAAGAGCAATAGACATGGGTATTCTGAGAAGGCGTGGCATCGTCACAACCACTTCGACAGCGATGCTAAGAACCCGCACCGGCAGAGATGCCAAAGTTTCAAACAGGTCTGAGCACGTAATATTGTTGTCGCTCTTCTCGTCCGTTGCTGGCATGCTTTCTAAATACTGTGATTGATCTCTTTCTCCTGGTTCTCTTCTCTTCAACGGTCCGTACTAGATATGCGCGGATGATAAGGCAGAGCCACCCAGCGTACCTTTATGCATGGAAGCCGTCAACAACCCTGGCTCAGACATGATTCTTTTATCGTTAGAAGAGAAATGTTTTCGAGGTGCACGGCGGGCTGAAGACATGTTGAAATGTCACGGAAGAGTCGTGAGATCCTTATTGCGACGAATTGCTTGGGTATCGCTTTGAAAGAATGGGAGCAAAAGGAATAAAGGAGGGCAATATAATATATATCATTTGGCTGGAGTTACCACGACATACTGACCGCATGCAATTGACTATACCCACGAAAAATTGGCTAGGAAGGCAGAGCGAAGCTGCTAGAAAATAAATGCGACAGCAGAGACAAAGAAAAAAAAAAGAATACAGATGCAAGAACTGGCATGAATCACGCTGACGATGGAGTACAAAGAACAAAGCATCACGTCTGTTTCGCAGTGGTGGCAGACTGCTCCAGCTTTCCCTCGATCCTACACATGACAAAGTTCATCAGTATACCTCGAAGACCGACGGAACACATATATTTCCCCCATAACGGTTTATCACGTCCAAGGTAGATAAAATGAACCAGGAGGCAGAGACGCAGGCAGTAGAATTCGCGATCAATGAGGATCGAGAGATGTAATCGATGAGTATGCAATGGGATCATATAGAACACCGTAAAAGTTCAAGGCCCCCGGTCGGCGGCACGGACCCATCCCGCAGAAAGCTCAGCGGTCAGTCTAGGCCAGATCAGGCAATAACTCGTACTGATATGATTTCAACTAGAAAAATATCAATTATCTCCGAGAGCTGTTGGACCCTGCGCAGCACCATAATTCTTCACCTGTCAATCAGCACAGCTTCACCTGCTCATTGTCAGCTATCCGCTGTGGTTGTGGCTTACAATGGCAAAATCAAAGTCGTCCAAGCGCGACACCAGACGAGACAGTCCCGCAGACATTCCCGCCGTCGACGAGCCCGCCGAGAACCACGAAGACACTTCCGCGCAAACACAACGGAAGAAGAGAAAACTTTCGCACGATTCAACAGCGGAGCCTGCAGCTGCTCAGTCGGAAAAGGTCGCCAATGATGCAGACGCGGTGAAGTCTGCCGGCGCTGAGCAAAAATCAAAGAAGAAGCGCAAGACGAAATCCAGCAAGTCGAGCGCCGCTCAACAGACCGAAGAGGGAGGAAACAATGCGCAGCAACAAGCCCAAGAACATACTGGAGAAGGAGACGAAAATGCTGGTTATGATGGCGAGGGCGAACACCAGGGTGGGAAGGCTGTGCGATTTATCGTCTTTATTGGTTCGTGCATATTTCTCTACCGTCCCGTTATATCCTATCGCCTTTCGTATGATTGTCCCCATGTGGCTCCAATTTATGCCATTGGTCTTCATACACGCACTACCTTCCTCTTTTCCAAGATGCATTGCTTTACCTATTCCCAAGGCCAAAGAAACCTAATATACTAAAAACAAACACTGACACTGACACTAACATTGACACAGGCAATCTCCCGTATTCCGCCACGACAGAAAGCGTGACCAAGCACTTTGCCAAAATCCAGCCAACTTCTGTGCGGCACCTGACGGACAAGGAGACGGGCAAATCAAAGGGTTTTGCATTTCTGGAATTCGAAGCGTACGATCGTATGAAGACGTGCCTGAAGCTGTATCATCACTCGAATTTTGACGATGGCATTTCGCCCGCGCGGAAAATCAATGTCGAATTGACGTATGTTCACCTTTTACTTTTCTTTCCCTGTCGCAGTTATTTTCCTCTTATTTTCCCTGTCCCTTTTCCTTCGGTGGCCCGCATTCTTCTCCATTCATCCCATTCCTCCCTCAGTCCCCTAGAATGTTTTTAGTTCCCCCCCCCCCCCCCCCTCCCCCTGTGATTCTAAGACTAACATTATATAAAGTGCCGGCGGCGGCGGCGGCAAGAGCAGAGACCGCAAATGGAAACTGCGCACTAAAAACGAAAAACTCAACGAGCAGCGTAAACGCCAGCAACAAGAACAAGCCAAGCAGGAAGCGCAAAAGGCGAAGAAAGGTAGACACCAGCAGTCACACCAGCAGCGGCATCAACAACAACGGCCGCGGCCTGGAAGAGGAGGCGATGGGGGTGGTGCCGGTGGCGGTGCCGGAATCGGCGCCGAAGACCAAGGCGGTATTCATCCCAGTCGACTCGCCATGGTTTCTGGTCCTTAGGTTCTGGCGAAGAAATGTATATATACGTTATTCTGATGTGCCGGATCAAAATTAAACGTAAGGTATAACGGACGGACGATTCTTGGGTCGGGTGCATTGTACTTCATTGTATTTCATTGTAATTTTTATTAGTTTCTATAGGAGTTGTGTCTGTGCCGTCTACTGTGTAGGCGCAAAATTTATACACGATTTAAAGAAAAGGCGATCCATACGATTCAAAGTATATGAATTTGATGGGATGTAGTAGTATGTATTCTTTAGATGATTCTCTTCTTTTGGTGGTAGCAAGAGGCCTGGAATAAGTATATGTACAATACAATGATAGTAATGATATAAAGTTGACAAAAACCCCGAGGCACAACGCATTGTATCACTTAGAAAAAAAAAATGGAGATTGGAAAAGAAAAATTGGAAATGGGAATGCGGATTTGGGGTCAAATGGACAGAGACGGAAAATGAAACGGTTGCTTTTTTGTTTATTTGCCTAATTCGCCGAGCATGAGGTTTCTGTCTGATGAGGCGGAGACGACTGCGGGTTGGAGATGGAGTCAGTAGGGAATGTCAAAGACAGTAGTAGATACCTCGGATTAGAACGACGGTAAGAGATGAAAGGGGAGAAAACACGATAGGAAGAGATGATAAACTTACTGATTGGTTCAGAGGTTGGAGAAAAGCGCACGTCATTTACGGTACCCTTGTGGCCGGGCAGCTTGTACAGAAGCTTGCCCGTGGCAGCCTCCCAGACAACAACACTCCTGTCGCCGCTACCTGCGGCAATCTTCTGGCCCTGGGGATCCCAGCTTGCGCGAATCAAGTTCTTTTCTAGGCCCGTTGGCGCGCCGTCGAATGTGCGAATATGTCGGTCCGTGGGCGCAAAAGGACGTATGTCCCACGTGCGGACAGTTGAGTCGTGAGAGTTGGAGAGCAGGGTCTGCGAATCGGGGGAGATTTGGAGAGAGGTAATGGTATCGGTGTGTCCTATCATGGTGTATGCGACGCTCTTCTTTCGGAGATCCCATACTTTGATGTCATTGTCGATGCTGCCAGAGTAGAGCTCGTTGCCGGCTTCGGACAGCGTTACGGCCGTGACGGGGAATTCGGTCTCAATGTAGTCGACGGCTTCTTTTTGCCGTGGATCCCAGATCTGTTTGACAATTGCGGCCTTGTTAGTATTCCGTAGAGTGGCCAGGCTTGTGTGTTCTGAGATCTTAAGAGGCTGAGTGACTAACCCCAATGGACCCGTCGTCGCTACCACTGATTAATAATTCCTCGCCCCGTTTGCTAACGTCCATGCAATTAATCACTTCCTCGTGTCCTACGTGTCTCCGTATCCGTAGTCCGGTGTCCAGGTCCCAGCTTGCGAGCATGGCGTCGGCCGAAGCAGAGTAAACAACACGAGAGTCTCGCGACCATTGCAGGTCTAGAACCGCTCCTTTGTGTCCGTTTAATATGCCATAATTTTCACATTCGCCGTATGTTCGCCATAACACTGTGATCGGACTGTCAGTAAGGTCCATCCTGAAAAATTAAAACCAACTAAGAGAGCCATTGTTTCTCACTAATTGATCGATCCATTGAACCAGACGCAATATGTTGTCCTGTCGGGTCAAATCTCGTCGCAAATACCTCGCCAGAATGACCTGATTGCTGTCAGCATATTTCCGTTCCGCTTCATCCTGCCTTTGCAGTATCATATACCGGTCAATTCTAAAATCGGCGCCTGCAGACCGCTTGTCCTGGGGACCTTGTTTCCGCTGTCAGCTTATGTGTCCCAGAACACATATATCCGCGCAATTCACATACAGCCTGAATAAGTGCGCCATCCTGCGCAGTGCTATTTACTACCGCTACCGCATTGCTTCCACTCAGATCGCCGTTGGAGCGTTGTCGCTTGACAATCATTTGCGAAGACCCAAACGCGTCCGACGCGGGTCTTTTCTCGGCCGACATTTTGTCCTAAAGCTTGGGCGGCCCGGATGAAGATCTGAATTTAGGTGAAAGACAATTCTGAGCAAAAATGTAATCAATCTCAATGTTGAAGCTAAGGACGCGGAATGTCCAAGCCAAAAGTCCACACAGAGCCGCACGACGATGATGGTTGACGCTAAACCAGATCTAGGTCTGATATGGCCTTATGTAATCACACTCGGGCCTCCTCGACCGAGGATATGCGGAGGAGCTGCAACCACGTTATTATTTGTGAATAGCTTCTCGAGCTTGCGATTTGTCTTAAGCTTGGGTTTTGTGAGGTTCTGATACTGCTACACCTTCTGCAGTGCGAAACTTAGCATAGGGAAGCCTCTCATCGATCTTTGATAAGTCACCAATGGCTTCAGCAAAAGCAGTCAGAATTGGGGAAGAGTAAGTTTATATCACCCCGCCATTGACAAGTTAGATGAGCGTGCTAACAGGTGCTGTGCAGGGTATGGAAGTTAGTATGACCCGTAATCCAGCATTACCATAGCTAGATTTCAGTTCCACGTGCAATCTTGCGACATGTAGAACTGCAACTGACGACGGACATTTAGGACAAGGGTTGACAAGGTCAACGCAGAGCTGGTGACTCTCACTTATGGTACCATTGTGGCCCAACTCTGCAAGGACTACGAGAGTGATTATGTCGAGGTCAATAAGCAGCTCGACAAGATGGGCTACAATATTGGAGTACGGTTAATCGAAGACTTTCTGGCCAAGTCTGGTGCTGGCCGCTGCTCTAACTTTCGCGAAACTGCGGAAATGATTTCCAAGGTATGGCATATATATTGGCATACGAGTCTTTGAACATGAAATTTTCGTAATTCGTTTGAGCACCTCATTGCTGACTTTTGCTATCAGGTTGGCTTCAAGATCTTTCTGAACATTACACCTACGATTGCCAATTGGACGAGCGACAACAAAGAATTTTCTCTTCTTTTTGACGAGAATCCTCTTGCCGACTTTGTCGAGCTTCCTGATGATGGCCGCGCACAGGATGAGTTGTGGTACTCGAACATATTATGTGGTATTCTGCGAGGAGCACTGGAGATGGTACGTTGGTCCAGATGGCAGATTCAGACATGACGCAACGTGTTATCTCTATAGAGAAATAATTTGCTCGTCGATGAGCTGACGAGTATATTCTGATATAGGTGCAAATGCAAGTGGAGGCGCACTTCATCAGCGACGTCTTGCGCGGCAACGACACGACAGAGATGCGGATATCCTTGATCCGTTACATTGAAGATGAGCTACCGCCCGAGGATGAATAGAATTGAGCATTGGTGTCTCGAAACATGGGACATGCATCTTTCTATGGGAAGGCGTTGCTGGAGATTGGCGTTCGAATACCTCTCAAGGGGCTTGACAGTTAGTGCACCAGGCATTTTTGCGAAATGGCATCATCGTTATCATCATTTTGAACGGGGCCCCTCAATTATTTGGCTCTGGCGACTGAGATTAGATCAAATCTCGACAATATATTTTGCCCCATGAAGTCGTAGAGGGAAAAAATGGAAAGGAGCGTGGTTTGCATTTGACGAGACAGTAAAGTTTGGTGATTTATGACATTCCGGGGATCCCGGCTGTCCTTTGCGGGCCGCGATGAAAGTGACGAGTGACAGGCGTCGTCGGGAAGAGGAATGGGGGGAATGGGCTGACTGATCCTGGTCGGGTAAGGGGCACGGCGGGAGAGAAAAGAGTGGAGTGACCCTAGGCTTTTTGTCCCTGAAAAAGCGGGTGACCCCAGTTATGCCCCGGGCGCCCAACGCTTCACTGCGGGTTGCCAACTAAATGGCATGACGATGATGAAGTTGCATGCCAGCCCCAGCAATGAGAAACACCGATGGGAATGATGATCTTGATGATAGATGATGAGCCATTGACCAATACAAGTGTCCTCGGTCAATTGCCACTACAACAGTACGGTGGGAGAACAAAGAGAATTTCAACATCAACAAGTGACCATCAGCCACTTGGCACTACTCGAACGGTTCAGGAATGGTTGAGGGGAACGAGTGAAACAGAGCTGTACAGTGAAAGTCTCTGCAAGTAGGGACAAGTATCTCTTGTGCTTGGCGATTCAGACGTCGTCATTCAATTCCAAATCATCATCGCCATCGCGAAGGATTATAGCCACAGCATGTAACAACATCTAGACATGATGTAGCATTGAGATCTCAGCTCCTATTTGTCATTGATGAATCTAATCAATTCCTACCAAATGATAATAATGATTTGAGATATAGTAATCTCCTTTTCTTGATTATTATTATTATTATCTCATTGTTGATTTTCTTTGAGGATGAATTGGGATCTGGACGATGGCGGATCCATCCGCTCTTTAAACGAGCCAATCATTAGCCATGGCTTGACTAGCGGTTCCGTGATTATCCCTGTTCTGGCCAATTAAGAGTCACAAAACCAACCCTAACCCAAGACCGGAGGGGCGAGAGGTCAAGAGGCGGAAAAGTCCCCTCCCACTTCCCTTTTCCCCCCAGAAAACATGTGCTGTATGGCAATAATGTGAGTTGGCGAAAGGCGGACATGTTATTGCAATGGTGGAGAATGCATGGCTCGAATCTCAATTGATATACGTTAGAAATGATTTGAATGAAACAATTAAAAAGAAAAATTAGAAGAGGAAAGAGAAGGATAGAGGCAGGGCTGGATATGCGAGAGACAGGGTCTGAGGCGAATTCTTTTCAAGAGGAAATATTCAATCATCTGCTTCATTGGCGGCATCCGGAGCATCGCGATCACCAATTCGCGTCTTGCTCGAGACCTTTTTGATTTTTTTGCGTAGATCCGCCCAGACCTTTTTCCGGGACAGTCCATCCACTCTGTCTTTCAGAGGTCCTCTCTTTACCGTAGAACTCTCCATATGTCCAACCATTGCCCATTGTGCGTCTCTTCTTGACTGTTTGAGGGTGGCTCGATATTCTCTTTCTCCTCGTGCTGTTTCGGCCACCGCCTTCCCTCCCACATCTCATTACTCTTTCTCTCCCTCTCTTTTAGTTTCTTGATCGTCATCCTCTCCACCTCTGTGATCCGCTCAGGTGTCGATTCATTTCGACCTTCTACAGAGCAATTACAAGGGAAAGGTCACAATACAGAAGCATCATCATCGTCAGGCTTCGGCTCTGACTCCGGTGGCGCTAGAATCAGCCATCAACCACTGCTGGGCTATAGAGGCAGTGGTGCTTCTTCAATCTGCCTTTCCCGAGTGGCTTCTGAAAAGAGCATCTTTATATCACAACCATCAAATATACCTTGCGTACGACCACGGAGATCGTCTATCGCCTACGTCGTGGCGGCGGAAGAAGAGACCCTGAACCAGCTCGGAAGATTGCTTGCATTTGGACCGTACCAGGTTCAATCGGCAGCACTGTACCTTTCATCTGCTAGGGTCGATATCTCTTTTATCTTTTTTTAAATTATTTTTTTTTTTTACCCTCCCTTGGGTTCATTGCTACATCCATCAATCAGGTCGCATTGCCTTTGATTCTCGTCGATTATATTTGATGGCAAGGCGATAGATATATAGGTCATCGCATCGGATACCTTTTTGCCCACCTCCCCAATTTTCCCGCAACCACCCATCGCTTGTTGCTCCTACGGGCTACTTTGCTCTCTCGCTTTCGCTCTTCTCTCACTCGCGCCAAGCGCCTTCTCCACCACCATCCACCATCCACCATCCACCCACGACCGACCCGACTAACCTCGCTGTTGCTGCTTCCGCTGCTTCTCCCTCACAATCACTGCCCTGAGCCTTTTCGACGCACCCTGGCTCACCCTTTTGCGACCGCCACCTTCAGTGACTGTCGTCGGCCGTCCTTGGAATCTCATTGATTCCTCCTTCGATCAAATTCACCTTCTTCTTTTTCTTCCCTTGCCCCTTTCGACGTCACGCGGTCGCCGACTTTCTAGTTTCCCGTTTGTCGGCATCCACCGCACCAAAGGTCTTACTCAGCGCCACGCTCCCTCGCTCCTTTGCCAGCTCCCTATACCCTGACGTCGATCGTTATTGTCGACACTGTTATACCCATCGCCGTCCGATTCATCGCGACGCGCTTGAAACACGCCTCTTTCTTTCTTTTTTGAGAGAGCGTTGACGGCTGAGGTCTTCATCGGTGGCGGCATCCGATTTCAAGCCGCCTCCCCTGGACCTCTTCCGATCTAGGCGCGCAACAACCCCCAATCCACTCGTTGGATTTTCATTTCTTTGGGCCAACTTCGATCTCCTCCATCGAAACCTCACTATACTTTCTTCCCCTCCATAGTCGTCTTTTGAGCTTCATCGTGCCCTTTGCGCGCTGGCTCCACGAGGATCATGAATGAGATGAACATGGCAGCCCTCAATGCTGTCGGCGGCCCCGTCGGCGGCATGCCTGTAATGAACAATGGCGCGGCTGGGGTCCCTCGTCCAAGCAATGCATCCGCCGTCGGTATCAATGCTCAACACGTTAATACGCCTGAAATTTCGCGAATGCAACTAAACACTTACATTTACGACTACTTTCTCAAGAATGAACTCTACGACTGTGCCCGTGCTCTGCTCCAGAGCGACGCCAACCTCAACACCACTCCACCTACCAAGACCAGCCCCGGCCGTCGACGCCAGGATGGCAATGTAAACGGTGTCGATGAGAATGCCATGGACACGGATTCCAAGGACGACGTCAAGCGTCCGGATGATCTTCCCACGCCGAACGTGCCCCCGCTCTGCCCCGGAAACTCGTTCCTGTTCGACTGGTGGTGCTTGTTTTGGGATATTTTCCATTCGCAGCGACGGAAACCGAAGCCGAGCGGTGGCGGTCCCGTTGAGCAGTACATGCAGCATACTCAGGTAATGCCAACATGCCTCTTTCTCTTTCTTGCTGTTTCCCGGTCCTATCTTATTGATTTCTTGCGCCCTCGATACTAACCTAATGGGATTGCTAGCAACAAACGCGCATGCGACAAGAGCAGCAATCGCAATTGATGCGCCAGATGAACCCCGGCATGATGCCCAATATGCAGTACCAGAACATGATGATGCGCGGCATGCAGGCCAATGGCATGAACCTCGCCCAAAACGAACTGCAACGTAAAGCGTTGCAGAACAGCCGTAATGCGTATGTTCAACCGTAAGCCGCTCCAAGAAGTTCCAAAACACTATTGGGAGGCTCATCAATTTTCCTTTCTGTTTCTTTTTTACCTT